AGTGACTTCTTTATTTGGAAATTTCACACAGTTAGCATATCACCAAGTCTTGAAAAGAGTAATTCTTTTCAACTATGAAGATGCTAAGCAAGTCTCTGCCCCTTCTGATTTCTCTGTCTAATTCCTATGTCTTCCAAGATTCAATTTAACCAGAATACACTCTCCGGCAACTTTACTCTGACTCTTTAAGGCTTACATGATCCTCCTTCATTGAACCTCATCCGGCTGACTTCCTCATAAACTTGTGTGAAAATTTTATAAACTCAAAATCTTTGTGCCAGGTGCCGTGGCACACATCTGTAATCCCAGCGGCTCAGGAGGCTGAGGCAGGAGGATTGCAAGTTCAAAGCCAGTTTCAGCAAAAGCAAGACCCTGTCTCTAAATACAAAATAAGGCTGGGGAGGTGACTCAGTGATCAAATGCCCTGAAATTCAATCTCTGGTACCAAAAAAACAAAACAAAACAACAACAACAAAAAAAAGCTTTGTATCTTCTACACCAAGCATAGTGTCTAACCCAGGTCTACTTACCAAATACAAAGAATGCTAGCTAATGGAACCATGAACAATGGTTTTAGTATAAAAACCTTTTGTAATAATCTAGTGCCTTTCCCCCTATATGCAGGGCTTCTCACATGGTATAGTGCTAGTATTTATCTTTAAGCAATAATTTCTTCCAGAGTCTACCAGTAGTCATCCTCTCAGTCTACCCTACCATTGAAACTAAGCTCATTCTCTATATCTTCCTACTGGGATGTATTTCATTAAGAAAGGTTTTTTTTTTTTTCCTTCCTTTCTTTCTTTGTAGAATCCACTTCTTTAGTTCAGGACCAAGAAACAAACAAGACATTCTCATCTACTGAATTTAATAAAACAAGTAACAATTTTTATACAAGATTTTCACCTGTAAGTGCCACCATGTAAGTTAAATTAATTAAAACCATAGCAGATTTTTTAAAGATTACTTTCAAGGAAAGCATTTTAGTGTTCACACCAGCTTCTTTAGCTCACTCCTAATGTAGTTCACACAGATCAAATGAGAAATAAAAATAAACTGCTTCAAAAACATTTGAGTACATTTATGACTGCCGGATTGCTGCTAAATTAAGTGAAAACATGCTAATATTCCAAAGTGTCAGGAAAGACAACTAAACTCTTCCATATTAATGCCCTTTACTGTTCTGACACACACAAACCACTGGGCTGGTAGCAACATGATTAACAGTGTACAGGCATTTCTGAAACATTTTTTTTTTCTTTTAAAGAATTTAATGTTTATTTTTTGTTTATTTTGTATGTAGTGCCTCACCTGTGCTAGGCAAGCACTCTATCACTGAGCTACAACTCCAGCCCTCTGAAATTCCTAAGTTCTTTAGAAAACTTAAAAAGAAAAATTCATAATATTGCCAAATTCAGGGTTCAATAAGGATATTATACACTTATACATCCAATCTCAAGGACATAAAAATGTAACAATTATGTTAGTACTGAAGCACAAATGTAAATAAATACTAAATGGAAAATCCCTGCATATATATATATATATATATTTTTTTTTTTTTTTTTTTTTTGCGGAGGGAGGGGGGATTGGGAATTTAATGCAGGGGCAATTTACAACTGAGCTATTTATTATTTTTCATTTTGAGACAGAGTCTCACCAAGTTGCTAAAGCTGGCCTTGAACTTGCAAGCCCCTTAATGTTTTACCTGCAATTATTTACTTTTTTTGGTACTGAGGATTAAACCCAGAGGCACTTGACCACTGAGCCACATCCCCAGCCCTGTTTTATATTTTATTTAGACACATTTATTTAGGAACTCACTGAGTTACTTAGTTTCTCGCTTTTTGAGGATGGCTTTGAATTCGCAATCCTCCTGCTTCAGCCTCCAAAGCCACTGGGATTTCAGATGTGCGCCACCAGCCTGGCCAAATATGTATTTTTTATAATGATAAATTTATCCCTCGCTTTTCGGAGACATACCTATATCATTCTAAACCCACTTTATTTAATCCAGTAATTCTAAGATTTAAAAAAATCACAGATTTTTAGAGCTGGATGTGTGGCACACACCTGTATTCGCAGCTATTCAGGAGACTGAAGCAGGAGGCTCACAAGTTCAAGGCCAGCCTGGATAACAGAATGAGGCCCTGTGTCACAATAAAAAATAAGTAAAAAAAGGTTGGGGATGTAGCAAAGTGATAAAAGCATTTACCCATGATGCATGAGGTCGTGGGTTCAATCCCTAGTACGGAAAACACACACACACACACACACACACACACCCCAAAACAAAAACAAAAACAAAAACCACAGAAATATAGACTTTTGGAGTTTGAAGGAATTTTAAGAGTAATCCAGCCCAATCTTCTAATTTTACAAATGAAGAAGAGGTCTAGAGAACTGAAGTGAATGCCTCAATATCACAAAGGGAAAAAAAGTAAGAGTTCTAGTTTGGTACTAGATAACTTCACTGTAGATGCTAGTTTATTTATAACAATGCAGATAATGGCTTATTAAATTTTATTTTCTACTATGTCACCATAATGCAACAGTTAATTATGAATAAATCTGAAGTTAAAATGTATATAATTAACAGAAGCAATAATATATAAGCAAACGTTTTACTCACATTAATCATTTTAATATCTAAAATTGATATTTAGCCCAGTGTGGTAGTGTGTGCCTCAATCCCAACTACTAGAATAATCAAGACAGGAGGATAGTAAGTTAGAGGCCAGCCGGAGCAACTTAATGAGACCCTGTCTCAAAATAAAAATTGGGCTAGGGATGTACCTCAGTAGTAGAGTGTTTGCCCAGCCCACAGAGACTGTGAGTTCAACCCCCATTCCCCCTCCCAACACACACACAGACTGATGTTTACATTTATGTATTACATACTTAAGTTTCAAAGATCATAGTGATCATTTTAAGTTACCACTCAAAAACTGCAAAAGGCTCCTTATTAGCAAAAGCACAAAGTCCTAGTTACAGCAGTGTCTGAATATTCACAGTATTGCCTATAATAAATCAAGATTTAAGTTTTTTGCTTTACAGAAATAAAAACACACAAAGTTCTTATGTTGACCACATACACCTTAAACCAGGGAAAAATCATTGATATTTAGAAAGAAAAAGGAAAAAAAAAGAGGGGCTGGGACTGTAGCTCAGTGGCAGAGCACTTGCCTAGCATGTGTGAGGCACTGGGTTCCATCCTTAGCACCACATAAAAATAAACAAATAAAGGCATTCTGTCCATCTACAACTACAAAAAAAAAAAAAAAATTATTTTAAAAAGAGAATGTAAGCTTAGTGCTAATATTATCAGTTAAAAAAAAAAAGCACATAATACCACCACATAGCAAAAAGATCTGCCACAGGCTCTTCAAATCACTTGAATTAATTACCTGTGGATTCTTACTACAAATTAAGAGATATTTCAATACATTGAATAAAGAAGTCTAAAAATAGACAATGTTATGATTTTATTGAAATATGCTATTTGTAAAACAGGATTTCCTTATTAGTTAAAAAAAATCAACATGTAGTTTTCCTAAAAGGGGCAACTACTGAAATAATCTCAGGTAGTGTTTTGATAACTAACAGAATTAGTTCATCCTTTTATTATGAATGGCTGCCAGCTTCCCTTTGCATAAAGAATAGATGCTGCCTCACAGAATAGCTAATTAAAAATATCAAACTATGTAGAGATCATCTCTTCTGCAAGATCAAAGCAGTAAACACCCCCCACACACACAAAAGGCCTTTAAGTCAAAATAAATTCCTTCAAACCCTTCACTAAATTGACAATCACTAAGTTGTCACTGAAAGCCAATTTTACACACAATTTAATAAACCTGAGTTTTATTTTTCAAGCCCAGAGCTTATGACAGATGGAAATCAAAATAATATCACTTTGCAGCTGGAATAAAAACAAACAAACAAACTAAGGCTCGGAAAAAAATGACTGAGCCAGAAACGTCCAAATTTTATATTCTAGGAAGTCTGCATACTTGTACACACTTGCCAACAGGGAAGGCAACCCTGATCACTTCTTGCAGGAGATAAAAAAGCCTTAGGAAGCTACCACAACAATAGAAAAGCAAAGAATCCTTTGAGACCCTATAAGATCCCTGGGCATCAATAATTATAATTCATAAAGAAATTGCTAGGCAATGTGCAATGAATTCTGCTTAAGACAGAGGTATGTAAATTGTAGAAATAATCCCATCCCAAACAGTTACAATAAGGGGGAGAGTGGTGCTAAAACAGCAAATTTTCAGGTATATAAAAAAACATACAAGAAAAAAGTCATTCTACGTATCTTTTCTGAATTTTTATGGTGCAATTACAAAACTTTTATAAAATGTTCATTTCCACCTCCTCAATCAGTTCCGAACTAGCAATTATTGGCCTTTTCCTCTACAAAATGGGAAACACGCGCACAAATGACCTTTCTGGTTTTGGCTACTGAAAGTTAATGTCTGATCTCCAAATTTCCAAAATATTTAACCGTTCCTAGGACGTATTTATGATCACCAATGCCAAAATCTGGTACTGCATAGAACGTATTCTTGTGGGAAAAAAATTAAATGCACAAAATGATACTTTCAAAACATTTCCAAAACGTCTGCACGCTCCTTGCCGGCATAAGCTGACTTTGCTTCCTAAAAGCATAAGTAGTTCTGAAACCATCATTTTTCTCCTAAGGACTATCGTCCTCCTAAGAGGCCTGCGACGCTCACAGCTCCTCGGAAACGTGGGAAAACTTCTGAAGAGCTAAGGTAAGACCTTGAGTTTTAGAAAATGCTTAACAAAGTGGCCTGGGCCAGTTGAGTGTGCACGACAGCCGCTGTTCTGTGAGAGAAAAAGGTCGGAGTCGGAGAAAAGCTTGTATTCAATTTCAATCCTTGTGGTTCAGGCTCTTCGCCCGTCCTCTCTAACCCTAACCTGAAAAGACACTGAGTTACGCCTCCCCCTTCCCCACCAACCATATCACCTACCCGGCAGTAGTGCTCAGTCTTAGGATTTTGAAGTCTTAAAAATCAACATAGCTCCCTAAGAGTTCAGGCCGCCGTCGCTGCCGCCATATTACAGCTTGTGCGGCAAAATGCGTCAGGGAGCGAGGTGTGCGCCCGAGTAGGGAGGGCGGGGGCTGGCAGAGGAAGAGCGGTTTCCTGGCCCTGGAGGCTTGGCCGGAAGCCTTCTCCAGCTGCTACATCTTCAAAGCGAGCTCAGTGGTCCTCAGAGGCCCCCTCTGGGCCCTACCAGTCCGTATACCTCCCGGGAAAGACGGTTAACACAGCCCGGCCTACCGCGCCGGCTCCGCCCCTCTCTCCCGGCCCTTCCAGCTCCCGTATCCCGGGACTGCAGCAAATGACGCCACCAAAACAACACGGGCCTCGCGCCACCTACCTGCACCACTACAATTTCCTCTTCCCTGGGCCCGGCCCTTTAAAGCGCTTCAAATCTACCGCCGTCAGAATAGGCGCTAAAGCCCACTAACCGCCTCCCTCCCCCACAGCCCAGTCCCGGCGTGGAGAGAAAGCGTCGCGCCGGAAGTACGTCATGGGTTGGTTGACGGCGTCTCCCGGCGTTCCCTGGTTGGTGTCACCACGCCCTCCCTGGAATTCTAGGGTTTCGCTTCCTTTTAAATTCGTAGTTTGTAAGTAGCTTAACGCCTGTGTGAATTGACAGAATGCATCTCTGCCTGTCAGAATGCCGTGTCGTTTGTGAAATAAAGTGTTTCATTTAATGAGCATATATTAATGCTCTGCCAGGCTATTTTGAAGGACGTTCAACCTTAAAGGAGCTTCCAGTTTCACCTTCCAGTGAATGACGAAATACAAGTCCTGAAAAACCAGTAATGAACAAAGTGTATTTGAGAGAAGAGGAGGAAATTGGCTGATTTACATTTTTGTCTCTAGTAACCCCATGGTACATGGTACAGATTAGATCTACTATATTGCCAGGCGCGCATATAATCCCACCAGTTAAGGAGGACGAGGTAGGATTCCAAGTTCGAGGCAAGCCTGAGCAAAATAGCAAGACCCACTCTCAAAAACATACAAAAAAGAAAAGAAAAGAAACACACACACACACACAAAGCATATATCTAATATGTTTAATTGGTCTGTGAAATTCCAAACCTTGCAAAATTGATTTGATTTGAATTTATTGTATCAAGAAGGAAGCTGTTGGATGAGGTTGTAGCTCAGTGGTAGAGCGCTTGCCTAGCATGTGTGAGGCACTGGGTTCGGTTCTCAGATCCATAAATAAATAAGTAAAATAAAGGTCCAAAGACAAGTAAAAATTATTTAAAAAAAAAAAAAAAAAAAGGAAGCTGTTGCAGGACGTGGTACACGCCTGTAATACCAGCCACTAGGAGGCTCAGGCAGTTCCATTCATTTGGCAGTTTAGTAAGACCCTGTCTCAAAATAAGAAATAAAAGGATTGGGTATGTAGTTCAAGGGGAAAACATCTCTGTGTTCAAACCACAGTACCAAAAAAGCTGTTAGCAGGACAGTGTGATACACACTTGTAAGCCCAGCTTCTCTAGAAGCTGAGACAGGGATCAAAAGTCTGAGGCCAGTCTAAGTAATTTAGTGAGACCCAGTCTCAAAATAAAAAGGGCTAGGGATGTAGCTTAATGGTGGAATACTTGCTTAGCATGTGCAAAGCCCTGGGATAGATCCCCAGCACCACAAAGGAAGGAAAGCTATTTTACAGTAAAAGGAAATATTTTTTTCTTGTCTTTTCTTTCCTTTTTAAAAAAAATTTTTGTTGTAGATGGACACAATACATTTATTTTATTTGTGTATTTTTATGTGGTGCCTGGGATCGAACTCAGTGCCTCAGCATGCTAGGCAAGCACTCTGCCCACTGAGCCACACCACAACCTGGCCCCTCCTTTTTTTTTTTTTTTTTTTTTTTTTGTACCAGGTATTGAGCCCAGGGCGCTTAACCCATGACCCACATCCTCAGCCGCTGTGTATATGTGTGTGTGTGTGTGTGTGTGTGTGTTATTTTAGAGATAGGGTCTCACTACATTGCTGAGGGCCTTGCTAAATTGCTGAAGATAGCTTTGAACTCGGGATCCTCCTGCCTCAACTTCCTGAGCCGCTGGGATTATATATGTGCAACACCATGCCTGCCTTAAAAGGAAATATTTTATTCTGCTACAGTTCTATAGTTTTAAGGATTCATTTCTCTCTTACGTAATATATCTTAAGTTAGCAGACCAGTTGAGAGGGCCAGCTCTGCTCCATTTAGTTATTCAGGACCAAGTTTTTCCTGTATGTTATCCCAATATGCCCTAAGACCTTGTCATTGCATGATTAGAGTGTGTTGCCTTGGGTTTCAGCTGGAACAAAAAGAAAATAAAAGGCAATGTATAAATCAGAAAGTAGCCCCTTTTGCTCTAATTTCATCAATGAAAACTAAATCACATGACCCCAAACAGTTACAAGATGCTGGGGTATGTAATTTGGACATGTGCCCAGAGAAAAGACAAAAAGATATTCTAGGGGAAAATTAATAAATTACATATACCGTTAAAAGGTAGTTTTTTGCACAAAAAAAATATTTACAATCATCAAAACATGGGTTTCTGAGTGGTGGTTTTAGTTTGTCCTTTACTTTGCATGCCTTTTTTAAAGGTAAAAGGTTGAATTAAAAATAAATTTATCATATAAATGCATATATACATAAGTATATCTCAATACATTTTTACTAAGTGAACAAACAAATGTAAACTTTACTGGATTAAGACATACAGCACGAGCAGTACCAACATCCCAGAAGTGTCACTCTTTCCCCTTCCTATTAATTCTGCTATTCCACATTCCCTACCACCAAAGATGACTTCTGTTCAGAGTCCCAGCAGCAGTAGTATTAGTTTTGCTTACTTTTGAATCTTATATAAATGGAATTGTGCAGATTTACTCTTGTGTGACCTTTGTTGTTTTCAGGTTTTAATAATTATGAATAAAATTTTATGAACTTTCTTACACCTACTGTTTTGGGCCACATATATTTTTCACATATGTTGGAGATATACTTAGGAATGGAATTGCTAGATCTTAGGGTATAAATAGGTTCAGCTTTGGTAGGTAATACCAAAGAGTTTTCCAAAGTGGTATAACAACACTCTTATTATGCATGCCTTTTGATGACAGTCAGTGAGGGATCTTGTTTACAAACAACTGAAATTCAAGTTGAACCAGTCTTGGTAAAAGGAAAATATATTGCTTTATAAGCCAAAACTGATGGACAGTGTGATGGTTCAAAACTATGTTAACAAATTCTTTTTTTTTTCTTCAGTGCTGGAGATTGAACACAGTGCCTTACACATGCTAGGCAAGTATGCTATCAATAAATTATATCCCCAGCCCACACATTCTTTGATTTGACTTGCTTCTAGTGAGTAGAATAAAGCACAAGTGATGATGTGTGATTTCAGAGACTAGATAATAAAAGGCACTTGATTTCTTCATTACTGTCTTTTGGATCATTCATAGTTGGGGAAGGTAGCTCCCATGTCCTGAGAACACTCAAGCAGAATCTTGAGAGACCCTTGTGGCAATAAACAGGCTATGCCATGACCAGCATGGCCTTTAATTCAGAAATCAGATGAGGGGCCATGTGGGATGAAGAAAAGATGAAAAAAGGGGCTGGGGTTATGGTTCATGGTAGAGCACTCACCTACCATGTGTGAGACACTGGGTTCAATCCTCAGCACCACATAAAAATAAATCAACAAAATAAAGGTATTGTGTCTATCTACAACTAAAATATTTTTTTAAAAAAAACAGAGAGAAAAAGGTGGGGCTAAATGGTCCATGTTCATTATATAGGTTTCATCCGCAAAAGGTTATTTGTGGGAAAGTTTCAACAAAATGGGCAATCTAAAGTATGTAGGACTGGCGAGACTTTAGGGTCATCTTGTTATGTTTAGAATCCTCTATCCCTGGGAGTTGGTGCTTGAATTAAGGTCTTGACTGATAATGCTGTGTGCCTTTGCATGTAACCTCCTCTGGCTGGCGTCGCCATAGCGACTGGTCTATTTTGACCTGCACCTTCACACACGAAGTTCCCAGTGCAACACAGCCATGAGGGAGTCAGACCATGATTCAAATCACTGCTCTCCACAGGCTTCCTCCCACCAACAGCTAGGTGAGTGTGCCATCATGCAAGTAGATCCTCCAGTACCACTGCCATCCCTGTAGACCTATGATTGTGATCAAAAGAAGCAAAATGACTCAGCCAAACTACTTCCTAATTTCTGATGTACAGAAACCATGAAATAACAACTATTGTTTTGAGTGAGTTTGGGAAGATTTTTTTATACAGAAAAGAAAGAATAGACTGAATATTGTGGGACTTCTTTCTTGTCTAATTCTACTTATCACTATTTGCTTTATTTTTCAGGCTGGTTTCTCCAAGAAGTGACTTCACATCTTAAGAATATGAACCTGAGTTGGGGGTGAGTTCATGGTAGAGAGCTTGTCAAGAATGTAGTGGTTCAATCTCCAGCACTAAAAAAGAAGAAAATAGAAAATCTAAACCTCTGCCACCTCCAAATTTAAAATGCCAGAAAAGGACTAGGGATATAGCACAGTGGTAAATCACATAAGCACTTGCCTACCTTGGGCAAAGCCTTGGGTTTGGTACCCTCAGGAAAATAAATAATAAAAGACCAGAAAAGTCTTTGGTTAGCACAGTAGTGGTAACCCCAAAATTTGTGTTTTTATATTTTAAGGTTTGTCACTGGAAATGTCTGTCCTTCTAAGAACTGGATTTTGTTTTGTTTTTTGGTACTGGGAATTGAAGTCAGTGGTACTCTAACACTAAGCTACGTCCCCAGCTCTTTTAAAATTTTATCTAGGGTAGGGGGTGTAGCTCAGTGGTAGACTGCTTGCTAAGCACGTGAGGCACTGGGTTTGATCCTCAGCACCATATTAAAATAAATAATAAAATAAACATATTCTATGGTGTTCATCTACAATTAAAATTTTTTAAAAATTTTATCTAGAGGCAGGTTTTATGTTGCAAAGGCTGACTTCAAACGTGTGATTCTCCTTCCTCTGCCTCCTGAGTCATTGGGATTAAAGGTGTGTGCCACCAGGACAGTCTAAGAAGTAGGTTTCTTAGCTCTCTCCTGGAATCTAGGCAAGGATATAGGAATGTTTCTTTCCAGTGGAAGGTAAGTGTAAATATTACATCCAGGTCAAATGTTTATGAAGTTCTATGCTTCTCCATGTCCTTTATGTTTATTTCTGTCAGCTTGATCCAGTGGGTTTTAAGGCCCTGAGAAATTATGGAAGAAGCCTGTGTTTTAGATTGTTTAATGTTGCTAGTAACATAATACCACTGGGAAGATTTGAAATAAAAGGGGTTATTTTGGCTCATGCTTCTGGAAGTCCAAGGTTAAGGGGGGGGGCCACATTTGGTAATGGCCTTCTTGCTGGCAAAATCCTGAGGTGGTGCAGGGCATCATATGGTGAGAGAAGTGGAGCATGCATGTGTATCTTCTGGGCACTGTCTCTCTCTTCTTGTAATGCCACTTATATTCAGGGCTGGGGGTGTAGTTCACTGGTAGAGCACTTGTCTAGTATTCAGAGGCACTGGAATCAGTCCCCAGTATATAAAAAAAACAAACAAGAACAAGGAGGAGAAAGGGGAGGAGGAGGAAGAGGAGGAGGGGGGAAGGAGGGAATATACAATGCCACCATGCCACTAGCTTGCAATCATGAGGACTCCACTCTGATGACTTTATCTATCCTAATTACCTCCCAAAGGTCCCATGTCTGAAAAATCAGATTAAGTTTCCACTCTTAAGATCTTAAAATATCTTACAGTGGATAGTAGACTCAGTTTTGGAGGAAACAAATCATATTCAAGCCAAAACTTCAATGTGGAGAAAAAGTTTTCAGTTACCAGGGATAAACAGGGATATCTGCATTGGAATGCAGTATGACTGAGGTATCAAATTCTGCAAGTTAAACACTGATATTTGGCTTTATTCATCATGGCAGACAGCACTACCCATCTAATAGGCTGAGCCTGAAGTGCTAGCTTAGACCTAGAATGGGTCATTTTAGTCCTTGTAAAGTGAGGAATGATGTCTGATACCAAAAGAAGGGGTGTAGATGGGCTGGGCTACTACAGTTAACCTCTACTTTACCTTTAATTTAGAATAATGAACCTTTTTTGTTTCTACCTATAGATGATCAACACACAAACTTCTTTTTTGTTGTATATCATCAATAATTTAACTTTTTAAAAAAGCATGTTTTTTTCACATATATTTTACAATAACATGAGCTGTTGTAAATTTTTGTTTTTGTTGTTGTTGTTTTGATATGGGCTCTTACTATGTTGCCCAGGTTGGGCTCAAATTGCTGGGCTCAAGCAATCCTCCTACCTCAGTCTTCTGAGTAGTTGGAACTAAAAGTGTGCACCCCTACACCTTACTTATTGTAAAATATTTGAACATTCTAAAAAGGATTAAAATGTAATAATTTTGCCTAATCCCTTCCAATCCCAGTTAGGTGTCAATTCCTATATGCACTACCATTAAATACATTTATTTATTTATTTATTTATTTAAGCGCCCTGAACATGCTAGGCAAGTGCTCTACCAATGAGATACATTCCTAGCTAAAATCTTTTATTTAATATCCCTCTCTACTTCATTCCTTAGACATAAAAAATTAGGTCACTTATCTCTCTGAAATTTGCTGGGTTTTGCATTATGGACATCTCTTTCAATAACTATATTCAATTTCATAGTATATATATTCCATATCTTATCCATCCATATGCCAAATATCCATTGAATGTTTTAGTTGTTTCAAGTTTTGGTTAATACAAAGATACTGCAAGAAGTTTTTATCTGCATACAGCATATATCCTGTATATATGCATATATAATGATACATATATAGTATATGTACATATATGTATATATAATGATTGATATTTTAAATATTAATATTTAAATATCAGGTGTGATAGCCAGAATAAGATTATTGGTGTTTTAGTCAGCTTTATCGCTGCTGTGATTAAAGGACCAGATCAGAACAACTGTAGAGGAAGAAAAGTTTATTTGTGGGCTTACGATTTCATAGGTCTCAATCAACAGACAGCAAGCTCCATTCCTTGGGGTTCAAGGTGAGGCAGAACAACATGGTGGAAGAGTATGGTGGAGGGAAGGTGCTGGCTTGAAGATCAGAAAGCAGAGAGAGATCTCCACTTGCCAGATACAAATATTTACCATAATGCTAAGCCCCTAATGCCCCACCTCGTCCAGCCATACCACCTGCTTTCAATTCCCACTCAATAAATCCTATCAGGTGATTAATTCACTGATTGGGTTAAAGCTCTCGTAACCCAATAATTTATCCTTTAAACCTTCTTGTATTATCTCACACATGCGCTTTTGGGAGACACCTCACATCTAAACCATTAGAATTATGAAAGGTTGATGCATTTCAAGGTTGTATGAGAATGGCTGTTATCCTCCCACTGAGCTTATTTTAAACATTTATTTTTTGCCAATTTAATAGGTAAAAGATCTTATTTTTCAGTTTCCTGACTATAGAGAGGTTGGTCCTCTTTTATTGACTTCCTTGCCTTTTTTTTTTCCAATTGAAAAACAGTGGTGTCACTATAAAGGGGTTTAAGGAAGAATCTCTAGGGGCAGAGGAGACTTCTATGTGAACCTTGTAGGCTTTTAAAATATATTTTTAGTTGTAAATGGACACAATACCTTTATTTTATTTTATTTCTGTGTGGTACTGAGAGTCAAACCCAATGCCTCACACATGCTAGGCAAATACTCTACTGTTGAACTACAACCCCAGACCTTTATTTATTTTTTATTTTTAGACAGGGTCTCATTAAATTGCTTAGGGACTCACTAAGTTGCTGAGGCTGATTTTGAATTTGTGATCCTCCTGCCTCAGCCTCCTGAGCCACTGGGATTACAGGCATGTGCTGCTGCACCTGGCTAAGGTAGGCTCATTTGAGAGTGAAAATCAGTACTTTTGAGGTCTTAGCTCTTCTTTTCAAGAAGACTTTCTTAAAGGTAGGCAGGAGAAGGTATGTGGGATGATTTCAATCTGGTGTTCACAAAATGCTTCATGGTGGTCTGGCTGTTCTTGATGTCTCCATTATCTGATCAATAGATAATGTTTGGAATGCACCCTGTAGTATACATTTCTTAAAATATTGTTATCTCCTTTTGCTTAATTTATTCTCAAAGTTCATTGCACAGGGAAATTTTCATAAGTGTGTGGGTTTTCAGCAACTATAAGGTTGTGAGTGAAGATCTGTAGATATCCCAGAAAGTTGACGGAGAGGAATACTGGCTTGGGGAGCGAAAGTATGTGTGAAACTTTAGCACAAGACTTTCAGATTCAAGTTGTAGTCGTCTTTTTCTTCCTTTTTTCTCCTTCTAACTATTTAAAAATTTTTTTTTCTGTCCTAGCTCAGTCCCAGCTACTCAGGAGGCTAAAGTGGAAGGATCATTTGAAGCCAGCCTGGACAACATAGTAAAACCATGTTAGTCTTAGAAGAAGAAGGAGCCAGGCACTGTGGAGCACCGGTGAAATTTCTGTGGCTCAGGAATCTGAGGCAGAAGGAGTTTAAGTTCAAGGTCAGCCTCAGCAACTTAGTGAGGCCTCAAGCAACTTAGTCAGACCCTGTCTTTTTTTTTTTTTTAATATATTTTTTTTTTTAAAGAGAGAGAGGGAGAGAATTTTAATATTTATTTTTTAGTTTTTCGGCGGACACAACATCTTTGTTGGTATGTGGTGCTGAGGATCGAACCCGGGCCGCACGCATGCCAGGCGAGCGCGCTACCGCTTGAGCCACATCCCCAGCCCAGACCCTGTCTTAAAATAAAAAATAAAAAAGGGCTGGTGATGTTTCTCAGTGGTTAAGTGTCCCTGAGTTCAATCCCCAGTAAATGCTCCTCTCCCCCCCCAAAAAAAAAGAAGAGAAGAAGGATGGCGATGATGATGGAATGTAAAGTTCAGTGTAGATAGCTTGCCTAGCATGCAGAAGCCCTAACATTGCAATACATACATACATACATACATACATAATACTGTAATAAAATGTGTATAACAAAATTTATCAACTTAGCCCTTTTTAAGGGTACCATTCAGTAGAGTCTAGTACATTCACCTTGTTATGCAATAAATGTCCAGACCTCTTTTCATGTTACAAAATTGCAACTCATTAAATAACTCTTCATTATTCCCCTTCCTTAGGCCCTGACAACCACCATTCCACTTATTGTTCCTATGAATTTGACAGCTATAGAGTCCTTATAAATGGTACAATTTGGTATTAGTTTTTTTTTTTTTTGGTAATTGTTTTATTTTTTTTTTCCCCTTTGATACTGAAGATTGAACTTGGTCCTCTAGCATGCCAGGCAAGTTCTTTACCACTGAGCTACACTACCAGAACCCCTTATGGACTATGAATGGAGAGTTTTAATATTCGTGATGCTGCTCAAAAAATATTTTTTTCATATTTGTTCTAACATCCCTTTATTGTGTGCATTCAAGTCAACCTTAATCTCAACTCTATTATCAGTTGATGTAACTTCAAACAACCTAAATCAGAGCTACTCAAAATGTGGTCTGAAACTAGTCCCATTGTCTAGGGTATTTGGGGGTGAATTAGAGTGGGAAGATGTGGGGAACCTGCCAATCTGAGTTTCTTTCTCGAGTTAAGAAATGTTCTAAAATTGATTATAGTGATGGTTCCACCACTCTGTGAATATACTAAAAGCCATTGAATTTTACACTTTCAATGGGTGAATCGTATGGTGTGCAAAATACATATCTAAGAAAGCTGTTAAGAAAAGCATCGCCTGAAAATTAGCACCTGTCCATGACATAGGTACAGAAATACGTAAGTCCAGAAATCGAGAGTAGGAGTTTTGATACTTCTATAGCAGCTTCACAGTTATTTCATATATAATACCCTGAAAAATTATAAGAAAAATCTGTATAGGTATTTTCTGTGCTTATATTTTCTCGTTTCATTTTTAAAAATATAATTGTTAGTGTACATTACAAAAATATCCATGTTCCACGTACTCGGGGAAATAAACCTCAATAATAGAGACACTGACCTAAGTAAGCGTTTGTGTCATTACCTTCTTCAGTAGTCGCTGACGCGCAGCCCCGAGCCTCTCCCAATACAGAACTACAAAGCCCAGAATTCCCCCAGAGGAGCCGGAGACGTGCATTCCACCAGCCGCTCCGCGCAGACCTCTGGGATGTGTAGTGCGTGTCTTCCGCTGTGCACGCAGTCTACGCGGAATTTTTCTTCGGCTTGGGGACCGACCATACCGGGGGAAGACAGTATTTCTCAAGGAAAGGCTAAAAACTCTGGGACAAGAGGGGTGAGCTGGAGAACTGAGCCTGTTGTGTTTTTTGCTGGGGACGAGGGACAACCCAGACTTCTAAGCTACGTAACCCGCCAGGATCCTGTAGAAAAGTTGGCGGGCGTTGAGGGAAGAATTTGCCGGCAAGTCAGGGCCTGGTAGCAGCGTCGGTATTTCTTTTCCCACCCAGCACGTTTTTGCGTAGGGTTCGTCTGAGAATCTGAGGCGGCCTCCTTGCGAGTGTTGGGTTCTCCAAAGTGCGGAGGATTGGGACCGGCTGAACCATTTCTAACCTGGATGATGGAGACCGCGTTCGCTCTTGTTCAGTTCTCTCTGCATGCCCGCACAGAGGATATCTTGACCCTGTGCACCCCGCACTGTGCCTGTTAAATCGTACCTGCCTCTCACAGTCCCAAGGCCCCTCCTTTAATTAAGCGACTTCGCCAAGGTCACTTAGCTGGGGTAGAGATGGGGACGCGGGACTTTTAAATTCTGAATAGCCTCCACTTTTCAGTTATGGGTGGTTAAGTTAGTATTTCGAGGATACCTTTGCTTTGAGCAAAAAAAATTTTTTTCTTTTTTTGGAGGTGGCCCTTGGCATGTTTTACTGAACACAAAATCAAAAATAGGCGGTACTGTGGCATAGTTTTTTCTTGGGAACAGACAGCTTGACATAGCCAGAGAGGGGTCTGAAGCATACTTTTAGTCACTCACGTTTGTTCATGTAATGAGGCTCAAATGTAATCCCATCTGCACTAGTACTAAAGTGATTTGTTTTGTTTACAATTTCTCCTCCCTCTCTTCCTCCCCACCCCCTTTCTTTATTTCAGTACTGGGGATTGAACCAGGGGTGTCCAGTGTGCTAAACAAGTGTTCTACCACTGGGCTACATCCCCAGCCTGTTAAAATTTTGAGACAGTGCCTTGCTGAATTGCCAAAGCTGGCCTCAAACTTGCCATCCTCCTGTCTTAGCTGGGATAATGGATATTCTTTACCATGTTTGGTTTAAGACTTTTTTGGGTTTACTTTATGTGTAAATGGAATTGATAATATCTTCCTGGAAGGTTGAGAGAATTTTAAAAAATTCAATTCAGTTCTAGAAACCTTGCCTTAAGTGGCCAATGAGACTAAAGTAACAGTATATAACTCATGCTTATTAATTAGTTAAATTTCACCATACTGGGGATTGAACCCAGGGGTACCCTACCCTGATCTACATCCCAGCTTCTTTTTGTTTTAAAAAAATTTTTTTATAGTTGTAGATGGACAGCATACCTTTAATTTCTTTCTTTCTTTTTTTTTAATGTGGTGCTGAGGATCAAACCCAGTGCTTCACACATACTAGGCAAGTGCTCTGCCACTGAGCTACAGCCCTAGCCCTTCCCCAGCCCTTTTTGTTTTTTACTTTGAGACAGGATCTCACTGAATTGCCAAGACTGGCCTTGAAGTTTCATCCTTTTGCCTCAACCTCTGAAGCTGCTGGGATTACAGGCATTTGCCACCACATCAGGCTCCTGTTACATTTTCATAGACATTTATGACAGAACAAAGATGGCAAGACTTCCGGTGATAGGAGGAGGTGATAGGATTATCCCTCCCCCAATCTTTTTTTTTTTTTTTTTTAGTGCATGTTCATTGTACAGAATGGTGGATTTCTTTGTGGCATATTTGTTGTTGTACTTTCCCTTGATCCCCCTTCCTCTTCACTGATAGTCAATTGAGTGAAATTAATTAGGATATATTTTAAAAGTTCTTTGTAACTGTTGCACATGTATTAGATGATATGATTTTAGTCCCAGCTTTTCTAACTATTGCTTCTCAAGAATAAATATAACATATAAACATTACTAAATTTATGATATATTTGTTAGACAAATTTTCTTTTCAGAAAAATCTTTGGTTATTATATTGATCCTACAGGTCTTGAAACACATTTTGACTTTTAAATATTTCCTCATTAGTGCTGTGAACATCTCATTTATTGGTTAAAACCTAACTAAGAACAATAATGAGCAAATTGTTTGAGTTCTTTTAGGGAATGAGAAGAAAGGAGCATGAAATTACCTTGAAGGCAAGGTGTGGGATTGCATTCCTATAATGACAGCTATTGAGGAGGCTGAAGCAGAAAGATCTGAAGTTCCAGCCTAGCCTGGGCAATTTAGCCAGACTGTCTCAAAGTAAAATTTAAAAGTACTAGGGTTGTAGCTCAGTGGTAGAGCATGTAACTAACATGTACAAGGGCCTGGGTTTGATCCCCACCACAAGAGGAAAAAAAAAGCAGTTTTGAGTTTTTTCCCCCTTCTGCTTTTGTGGTCAAATTTGAAAACTTTAGGCAATATCAGACTTAAACATTTTTTAAAGGAATACAGAAAGAAGCTCTTTTTCCTGGCTAGCTATTTAGATTTGGAGCAAATCCTACTATCTGATTTAGACTAAGATCAAAGTCTCTAGTTAATGCAGAAAAAAATTTATTATTTTGAATTTTGGAATTAACTCAGTATTAATAAGATATGACTAATCATGCTAACCAATTCTTTTACAGAAGCTGCATATTGGAATGGATTTAGAATCCTCATAATGGAAACAGAATACATGAAAGCAAGCTAGTTTATTTTTTATAACAGCACATTTAGCTTGAGTACTAGTTGCAGATGGCTTTCTTTACTGAAGAGAATTTGTGATGTAAATGGAAAGATATCTTTTTTCTAGACTCATCCTTTATAAATATGTTTCGTCTGAGAACTCTTTGTGCATTCTCCTGGAGAGAGTTTCAGTTTCGATCCTTCAGTTGTGAACCCTTAATTATTCAGATGAATAAGTGTACAGATCAAGAGCAAATATTTGATCTTATAGAAAGAAACAAAGAGACACTTTCAGAAAATCAAGTTGAATGTGCATTTAATAATCTTTGGCAACTTCAAAAGCAGAAGACCAGCTTGTTAAAAAATGTTGAGTATGTAGGAGATCATCCCCAATTTCTTACTCTGCATAATTTGACTACAAATAAAATCAAATTAATGAATGATGATACTCTGGTGAATGTGTTATACATCACACAACAGTAAGTTACTTTTATGGAAATCGTTATTTATATTTTAATTTTTAAAAAATCTTTTAAAGATGAAAATGTGTTTAATTTCTTCAAGAGGGTAGTTTTCCTGATAATGTTATATTTTAAAGATGTTTGGAGGATATTTAACACTATTAGTAGTATTGCAGTTTTAAAAAGTAGAATATATTCAATCATGACAGTAGAGATGATTAACTTTGGATTATTGTGGAATTTTGTGGCAATGTGATTGGCTAAAGATAATGAAGATAGGTGAATTATTATATTTCAGATTATGCCTAATAACAAATCAGCAATTAACAAATTGTGTTTTATTGATCTATTTGCAATCTCTTAGCCTGTAATTAAACTGATGTCAGATATATTTTTTAAGGGCTATTGGTACAATAAATTGTTTTCCAGTTGCAGTTCTTCAAAAAAGAAAAAAGAAAAGAAAAGGAAGAAAGAAAGAAAATAGAATTATTTTCTGGACTCATTTATATTTGATAACAATGTTTCACAAATTGTATTCTTTGACTGGCTTATTACATACAAAAAAGTCTTCCTTGATGTCAAAGGAAATATAGCTACATCTCCAGCCCTATTTATTTATTTATTTATTTGAGACACAGTCTTGCTAAGTTATCCAGTCTGATCTGGAAACTTTTGATCCTCCTGTCTCTGCCTCCCTAGTTGCTGATGGTATGTGCCACCATGTCTGGCAAAGTTAAATTTCAAGAAAAGAAATTTTAGCTAGGCATGGTGGCGCATGCTTGTAATTCCAGTGACTTAGGCAGGAGGATAATAAGTTCAAGGTCAGCCTCAGCAATTTATCAATACCTTCTCAAAAAATTGAAAATAAGAGGGGTGGGTGGACTGGGGATGTAGCTCAGTGATAGAGTGTCCCTGGGTTAAATTCCCACTACTGTGGAGTTGGGGATAAGGGTGGGGTGGGAGGGTGAGTGGGTGGGGCTCTGAGAAAGTGGGAGAGAAAGATACATTTTACATTGTAAGGAAATTCAGTCTTCAGGAGAACTGGAGTCCCTCAATAAAGGAACCCAGGGACAAGGGGTAAAAACACCAAAATTAAACATTAGTCCTTTTATGATAATCTGCCCTTTCCTGGTTAGGTAGCTATAGATTCAGCATTACACAGGTATTGCAGTTTTGTTGTTATTTTTGTTACCTGGGTTTGAACTTGGGCACTTAACCACTTAGCCACATCCCCAGGCTTTTTTTTTTTTTTTTTTTCACTGAGTTGCCTAGGGCCTCACTAAGTTGCTGAGGCTGGCTTTGAACTCATGATGCTCGTGCCTCAGCCTCCTGGACCACTGGGATTACAGGCATGTGCCACTATGCCCAGCATGCCATTTTTATTTATTTGTTTTATTTTTATTTTGAAAATCAGAATTAGATTAAAAAAAAAGAATAATTTTATTTTCAGGTTACAATATTCTTTTTCTCTGATATATATGAGGGGAACACAATTTTAAAGATTAAGGTGATTGGTGACTATTAGCATTTTTGTGTCTTTACATATTTTCTCCTATAAGATATTTTTATAATCAGAACAAAGTAATACATTTTATATGTCCTTTTGGTGTAAAACAAAGCATTGAACATTGTTCAGTGGAGGATTTTGAAATGAGTGGATAAAGAGGATGAGGTCATGAAATAAAGTAAAGATGCTTATTTATTGGACTGAACCAAGAAATCAGAACACTGAAATGGGAATAGAGTAGAAATAAGAAATGCCTATGTAAAAGCAAAGTAACCCGAGGTTCTTACTGCATGTGTTTTTAATGATTTAAAAATATGTGTGTGTGTAAAATTATTTTCTCTTGTTTTAATTGAGGTTCGCTGTTAAGGCCCATGATCCATTAATTCAAGCACTAGTTACAGAAGCATGGAAAAGGATGGAAAGGCAAGTATCTGGGTTCATCTTTTAAAGTTAGGGTTATCCTTTTCAGGGTTAGCACAGTGAAATCCTGTAGGAAAAAAAATGGGGAGCTGCCACCTACCTGTCAAGCTTTTATGGAAATTAATGTATTTAAATTCAATTTAGTTTCAGGGTTTTTGATTGTGTAATGTGTTTTTGTTATTTAATAGAGTAAGAAAGTATTTCAGATGTTCCCTTTTTAACTAATAGCCCAGAATAGTGAGTGTGCTTTTCCACATATATATATAATTAGTCAAAGTATAAATAGGGTAGAGTCATAGCTACATACTGGACTAGCTGCTTTGACTCTTATCTACCAGAGTTCTGCTTCAGAAAGAAAAGATTTTTTGATTTGTCAATTAGAACCTAGAAGTACAAGAGCTATAAAAGGAGAATAAAGAAGATCAATTTATTGAATGGAAGGCCATGTAGCCTGTTTAGTTACTTGTCTTTCACTTCATTTTTTTCATTGTTGTTGTTCTGGAAATTAAACGTAGGGGAACTTTACCACTGAGCAACATCTCCAATCCTTTATATTTTTTATTTTGAGACAGGGTCTCACTAAGTTGCTGAGGGTCTCTTTTAGTTGCTCAGGTTGGCCTCACACTTGTGATCTTTCTGCCTCAGCCTCCTGAGTTGCTGGAATTATAGGCATGCCACCATGCCCAGCCTTTCACTCCATTTTTATGTACAGACAGTGACTAGAACTTACAGGTAACTTAGAAGCTTTTTGAAGAAAATAAGTCCATTGCTCTGGACAATATTGATTGAGACCTATTTTCTATAGTATACATGGGTATATTTTTATCATTTTGCCATAATTGATATAATCTAGAAAAAAGAGATATGTTCAGGATATTCTTGTTGAGATGTCTGTTCTGTAAGAATATGTGGAAAGTTCTCCGTGTATAAAAGAACTGAGATCATAACAGATCTCATATTAGGAAAGCTTCAGCTATTTCTGAAAACTTTGAATTTTTTAACCTAGGAATTTTGGATGGCTAAAGGCCATTGTTAGTAAAATAGGACATATGACAGTGAGGAAAGAGAAAAAATGTGGGAACAGATAAGAGTTTTTTTTTTTTAATATTTATTTTTTAGATGTAGTTGGACACAATACCTTTATTTATTTTTTTAATGTGGTGCTGAGGATCAAACCCAGGGCCTCGCATGTGCGAGTGCTCTACCGCTGAGCTACAATCCCAGCCCCAGACAAGAAGGTTTTAAAAACTACAGCGCAGCCCTACCTCTAAACCAAATAGAAAGGTACAAATTTGACCAAGATAAAGGAGAAATAGACTATTTTTTGACAGAGAGGAGTGAGCATTCTCATATTTTTGTTTTTTGGTATATTGCTTCTCAAAGCTTAAATTTTTACAGTTGTTATTTATATTGCCAAATGCTTTAGGTCTTTATTATACAAGCTGGATTAAAGAGGTTCAGAAGGGTTCTCTTGATTTAGAAATTCTGCATCCATCTATGAAGTTGTAGTTTTAGTTAACTTCATTATTTAACCCCGGTTGTCATCTTACCCATTCCATTTCTCCATTCTTGCTTGCTTTCTACCATAACTATCTTTTATCTAAGGTAAACAGAATAATCTTAATTCTTTTTGCAAACAATAAGAAATGTATACTTATTATTTGTTTTGGGTTAAATTTGGTCATTGTTGGTGCTAGGTCAAAGCCTTTTTATTCCTCTTTAAAACAGCAGTAGGTGTTATATGAATTATATAGCTTGAAATCAATTGTAAAATAGATTTTTTGGTTTTACTATTTATGAAACAATTAAATTACAAATGTATCATTATACTTCCCAGTAAATCAGACTTTACATTTTAATGTATTTTCACTTCAAAATAACTCAGAAGATAATGCTTTGTTTTATATGGTGGTTCTTTCTTTCTGTTTTTATCATGTTTCTGTTTGTATCGTGTGTGTGTGTATATATGTGTGTGTGTATGTATATTGAGATGAGGTCTTGCTACATTGCCTAGGTTGACCTTAGACTCCTGGGTAAATGAGTCTATTGCCTCAGCCTTCCAGTAACTAGACTATAGGCGTGTGCCACTGTGCTTTGCAAAGTATATTTTTTATAATATCAAGTTATAAAAATTTAAAACCCTAATTTATGTCTATAGAACTTCTAATAGAGTTATAGAATAAATATAATTTCTGAATTTTTCACATATTAATTTTTTGTTGTAATAATAGCTATTAATCAGTGATCTGGCTAAAATATCTATGGATTTGTATTTTATAAATACAATATGTAATAATTCAAATGGGATAGATTATTCTGGTTTAGCACTGTATGATAGATCATGGCAAGGACACTTAACATATTTAAAGCCAGAAGTGGAAAAAATAAAAACTATTATGGATGATTTATTTATTCACTTCTTAAAAAATTGGTGCATTCTAGTTGTACATAATGATGGGTTTTGCTGTTATATATTTGTACATGCACACAATATAACAGTATAATTTGGCCAATATCATTCCTCAGCACCTTCCTGCTCCCATTCTTTAGTCCCTTTCCTCTGTTGATCTCCCTTTGATTTTTAGGTGATCCACCTTTACCTTTTTTTCCCTTTTGCTTCTCTTAACTATTGCATATGAAAGAAACCAGATGACTCTTGACCTTCTGAGTTTGACTTATTTTGCTTAACATGATGGTCTTTATTTCTATCCATTTTCCTGCAAATTATATGATTTCATTTTTATTTATGACTGAATAAAATTCCATTGTGTATATATACCACATTTTCTTTATCTATTCATCCACTGATGGATACCTAGGATGGTTGCATAGTTTTGCCTATTGAGAATTGTGTTGCTATAAACATGGGTGTACATGTATGTATCACTGTATTAAGATGACTTGAATTATTCAAGATAAATACTGAGGCATGGTATAGTTTGGTCAAATGGTGGTTCCATGCCTAGTCTTTTGAGGACCCTCCATACTGATTTCTACCAGTGGTTGTACTAATTTACAGTCCCACCAACAGTGTAATTGTATTCCTTTTGTCTGTATCCTCTCCAGCACTTATTATTATCTGTATTCTTGATGACTGTCATTCTTACTGGTATGAGATAAAATCTCAGTGTAGTTTTGATTTGCATTTCCCAAATGGCTATTGATGTTAAACATTTCTTCATGTATTTGATAGCTATTTACATTTCTTCTTTTGAGAAGTGTCTGTTTAATTCATTTTCCTATTTATTGAGTTATTTGAATTTTTGGTGTAAAGTTTTTTTGAATGACTTAAACATTTACAAAACTGGAGGCTAATATAATGAACTCTCATGTACCCATTATTTAGCTTCAGAAATTATCTTATCTATATCACCTCCTGCTCTCTCCCCACCCTTCAGCATACCTTTTGTTTTGTTTTGGGGGTGCTGGGGATTGAACCCAGGGGTGCTGTACCACTGAACTATATCCCTAGCCCTTAAATTCTGTTTTTTTTTTTTTTTTCAATTTTGAGATAGAATCTTGCTAAATTGCTAAGGCTGTCCTCAAACTTCCAGTTCTCCTGCCTCAGCCTCTCAAATTGCTGGAATTGGTGTGTGCTACTGCATTCAGCTTTCAGTATGTTTTCACTAGTAATGTTATTTCATCTATAAATACATGTCTCTTAGAAATATAGACTCTAGGGCTGTGGTTGTAGCTCAGTGGTAGAGCACTTGCTTAGAACATGTGAGACACTGGATTCGATCCTTAGCACCACATAAAAATAAATAAAATAAAGATATTGTGTCCATCTACAACTAAAAACAAATTAACAAAAAAGAAAAATAAACTCTAAAAATACATACCCAAAATATTTTAAAAAATATTTTAAAAATATTCCTTTTCAGGTATTAATACCTGATCTGTGTTCAAATTTCCTTGATTGGCCTATGAAGATCCATCTTTTGGCCACTTGTGACTCTCTAAATAAGGTTTACACTGTGTTAAGTTTTTCTCTTTTTCCAAGTAAAGCTTTTATTGGAGAATATTGTATAAAATTACACAAATGGTAAACATACAGCATGATTAATGTGCATATATCTGTCTCTTCTGTGTAATAACATAAAGATCAAGAAACATGAACAGTTCCCCAGAAGTTCCCTTTATGTTCTTTTAGTATCACCATCCTACCCCAAAAGGATTTTGACTTCTAACATCAAACATCAGTTTTGTTTTTATAGAAATGAAATTCTATGGTATGTACCCTTTTATTTAATTGGCTCAGTATGTTTTAAGGATTCATCTATGATGTTGTATGGTTCAGCAATCTATTTATTGCTATTGTGTAGTATTCTATGGGCATGTGTGATTTACCCATTGTGCTTTCTTCATGAACGTTTAGATTGTTTGCAGTTTTTACTCTTGCATATTGTGCTGCTGTGAATTTTCTTTTGTTATCTTTTAGTAAATTCAAAATATTTAAATCTAGGGGCTGAGGATGTACTTCAGTTGTAGAACATTTGCCATGCATTCACAAGGCCCCATCACTGCAAAAATAAAAACAAAAATAGAAATTTATGACATTCTTTTTTGCTTTTGTCATACCATTTATTTGATGAAGAATTTGGGTCATTTTTCCTATAGTCAAAATATGAAGTTTTTAAACAGAACTGTTGTATTAGTAGTTATTTGTTAATAGGCAAACTTGCGTTAAAATTGTCAACTCAGCCAGGTGTAGTTGTGCATGCTATAATTCCAGCAGCTCGGGAGGCTGAGGCTGGAGGATCTCAAGTTCAAAGCCAGACTCAGCAATTTAGTGAGGCCATAAGCAACTCAATGAGGGCCTGTCTCTAAATTGAATACAACAAAGGGCTGGAAATGTGGTTTAGTGGTTAAGTGCCACTGGGTTTAATCCCCAGTACCAAAAAATAGAAAAGAAAATTGTCATCTCAAAAAAAAAAAAAAAAAAAAGGTTATTTAAATAATTTTGAGTGATTTTTCTTTTTAAATCTTTCTAGAATATCACACTTTTAGCTGTATGATTTGTTATTCTTATGATAATAAGTAATCAGTATTTTAGAAAAATTCACTTAATAATATATTAGTATTTTTGTTGCTTTTTTATTTTATGACTACATTGTTTTAATTAAAAGTTAATACTAATGATCTCCTTTATGTATTTCCTTTAGTAGGTTTGATATTAAAGTACTATCTACATTTTCCACTTGCCTAGCAGATCAACGTTTGTATTTCAGTCCACTAATGGGAAAAATAGCTGATATTGTAAATAGGAACTTGGAAAACATACAGGACTTAAGGTAAATTTATTTATGGGCCTTTTGTTGTGGTAGAAAGATCCTGGGCTTTGGATGTAAACAGTTAGTTATGTGACATAAGGCTAATTTACATGACCTCTTAGAATTTCTCCTCATGTATCTAATAAGAATGGTAACATCTACTTTTCAGTGTTGCATGGGGGTTAGAGATAAGATATGTAAAGTTGAGATGTGTGAAGGATCTACTGCTGAGCCACAACCCTAGCCCTACCTCATAAATGTTAGAATTAACCTGTTACTTTCTATAAAAATGTCTGCTTTGATTTTGATAAAGATTGAATTACATCTGTAAATTAGTTTAGAAACATTTGTCATATTAAAATCTTCTGATGTCTGTATAGCACATGATTTTTTATTTATTTAGGAAAAATATCTTCTTTAGTGTAGAGGTCTTACATCTTTTGTTTAATTTGTTCCTAAATAATTTATGTTTTGAGATGAAATTTTTAAAATTTTATTTATTTATTCTTTTTTTCTATATTTTTTATTGGTGCATTGTGGTTGTACATAATGATGGGATCCATTATCACATGTTTTACTGAAATTGTTTTTGAACTTCACTTTCCAATTTTTTTTTAAAATATATATAAATACATCAAATGACTTTGTATATTGACTGTATATTCTATGATGGTGCTAAATTCACTAAAAGTGGAAATTTAACTATCTTATTAAGCTAGTAGAAGGTATATTTTGAGCCTGGCTTTCTAAGTATCTGCTCTGGTTAGGCTATCTCTGATGTTATGAAATGCTGAAATTGTAAGAAAAAAATTTAACATAACAGTAATGGAAATCTCAGTAAAAACTTATGACTATTGGGTGAGTAGGGTTAATATACATTGATAATATTACTGTCATATCTGTTATGGTCTTCAGTATAATAAGAAGTGGAATTAGAAAGAGGACGGAGAATCAAAGCTAGTTGAAGACCGGGAAGATATTTAGGACAGATAAGGGATGGCTTTGAATGCTATAGTAAGGATCTGAAATGAAAGCAGTGACCTAGAACTGAAAGAAGGGAAAAATTTTGAATATAAGTATCTATTTCATTTAATCCCCAGGCATCCTTCATTTGCTATATCAGAAATGAAGACTTTATGAGGATAAGTAAGAGAATAAGAGACCCAAGGTCTCTCAGCTAGTAAATGGGGGGATCAAGATTTGAACCTGGGCTTTCTGATTCTAGAGAATTGTACTGCTTCTGAATAGAGTCTAATTTTTTTTTTAACTATTTGTTCTTACATGTTTGAAAAAAAATATTTCAGGAGGTTTATTTAAATGGCAATGTTAGGTTAATTATTAATGCTAATTACTGTTAATATTAAACATTGTAACTGAAGCCAAAGTATGTATAACAGGAGCTTTTTTCAATATTAATTGATTCGATTTAAAGGATTAAAGAAAATTGGAAACAAAAGAAGTCAGCCCCCACTTTCCTAATGATTGAGATGGTTTTAGTTTTAGAGTTTTGTCTTTCTTATAGACTGTTTTCTAATTGTCATCCCCAATAGTTTTTTTAATGTCTTTTTCATTTTGCATACTTTATTCATTATAATATATCCTTGTATTTGTATTTTTCTGATTTTTATATTATGTAAGAATAGTCTGTTGAAAGGAAATGCCATATATTAATCTTGATGTGTCCCATAGTGCCTAGACATGTGACTAATGTTCCTTATGTATTTGTTTGTTTATTTTTTATTTATATTTTACAGTGGTGAGGGTCAAACTCAAGGCCCTGTGCACGTAGGCAAGTGTTCTACCACTAAGCAAAATCCTTAGCCCCCCCCTCCTTAAGTATTATGTGAAGAAATATTGAAAGTCTCCTTCCTCTTTAGTATTGTCTTATGATTGTATATTAATAATAATCTAGCCTGAAACGCTAAAAAACATGAAATTATTCAAATCATTCAGTAGTAAGAAATATTTTCCAGGAGTTTATTAATAAATTACATAGATACACAGGAAAGAGTAGCAAAAAGTCAACTTCTGAAAATACAAAATGAAGTCAAGAGTAGTGTCACACAGTATCTTGTAATCCTAGCTACTCAGGAGGCTAAAGCAGGAGGATTACAAGTTCAAGGCCAGCCTGGGGAACTCATTGAGACCCTGTCTCAAAACAAACAAACAAACAGAAAAAATGACTAGGGATGTAGCTCAGTGGTAGAGCACTTACTTACTTACATACTCAAGGGCCTGGGTCTAATCCCTAGTACCACACAAATACAAAATGAGACTTGTAGGATAGCATTCATGAGCTGTTGGTCCAAAGTGATTTCTGAGAAAAATATTTTCCAACAAAGTAGTTTTAGTGTTATCTACAGAACAAGGTATTTTATATATTCCATAAAAAATATTAATTTGAATGTTTTTTTTCTCTAAAAGTGATTACTGGGAGATCTGAATTCAACTCCCTTTAATATTTAAATGAAAAATTTTACAGTACGCGACAACATTTTTGCCAATTTCTTTCCACATCTAATGATTTAGTTTTGGTTGTTTTCTTCAGTAATGTAAAAATTTGTCTTTTTCCTTCTTCAGGTCCTTGTGTGTCTTGATGGTCAACATATCTTCTTTAATATCACAACATTTTCAAGAACAATTAGTGAATAAAACAGAGCTTCTTTTTGACAACATGAGTTCTCCTGAGGTCGACATTGCAAAAAGAATAGTACAATTTCTTCAAAATGTTAAATATAGATATTACCCTCTATTAGAGAGGTGTAATAAAGTGTTTTTAGATAACATAAACTACCTTGATTTGGATTCCGTCAGTAAAATATTTGATGGATATCAGTTCCTACAGTTTTATAGTTTTGAATTTGTTATAGTGGCTAAAAAGAGGCTAACTGAGATGATTCCTCTCTTTGATAACCCTGCAAGCTTTGTGAAATTGTTTGTTGCATTGGGACCAGTGGCAGGACCTGAAGAAAAGAAACAGTGAGTTCAATGTCATATGCTTTACTTTTCTTCTTGGGAATATATGGAGTCTTCAAGCTTAGGTCTCCTTGGCCCTCTGGCACAAAAATTATCCAATTAAACCATGAAGGGGAAATAATCTGTTATGATCTGCTTCTTGATTCTTTATCCTTATTTATATCTCCAACTCTTAATCTACTGGTATGTTCTAAAAGGGAGCCAATAAATTGCTGGTGCTGGGCCAACACAGAAAAAACTGAGGGAGAACACTAAGTGATTTTATGTTCCCTTCCTAGACCAGGTGACTGGGTTTATGGGTTTATATGGGCACAAATGAAGTGTATTTATACTTAGAACTATAGTGGATCTAACAACGAACCCTTTTGTGGTTTCTTGTAGTCATTGCATTCATCATCAAAAGCACATATTATGCACATTGGCATATTTCCTATGTGAATTTGGTCTGACTCTGCCTTTTAAAATTTTCCATTTTTGATGGATATTGATTTAGAGAAATATTTGAGATATAAAGATGAGCAAATATGAAATTAATACATAAGCTAAATATGACTAGTACATAAGATTCTTCTTTCCTAGGCCATGTGACTGGGTTTACACTTGGGTATAAGATTCCCCTTTCCGGCATAAGCATATGGAATATTTAGAATAACAGCCCTTTTGGATAAGTATGATTAATGGATTCAGTTAAGCAGGGGGTTTCTAGGAGTTGTGTAACAGAGGAATCTGCATCATTATTCTGTTAAGGAAAACTTTATAGAAAATTTTTATTTTTGAATTATATGAAAAAAATTAAAGGGGGGCTGTGGTTGTAGCTCATTGGTAGACTGCTGGTCTAGCACCTGTAAAGCACTTGGTTCAATCCTCAGTACCACATAAAATAAATAAATAAGATAAAAATATTGTGTCCATCTACAACTAAAAATATATTTTAAACATTAAGGGTACATCTTAAGAGATTGCATCTATATAGAAACATAATTATTTAAAAAAATGTTTACTGTAATCTTTTTGTCACCAAGCAAATATTAAAATCTGATATTAGGGCTAGAACTATTGCTCAGTGGTAAAGCATTTGCCCAACATGTGCAAAGCTCTGAATTCCATCCCCAGCACTTAAAAGGAAAAAAAAAAAAAAACTCATGCTAAAGAAATACAAGAGTTGTAAAGTTGGATTTAATTGGGTTTCTGCTTCAAGGAATTTATATTTTAGTTATTTATTTTTTTTTTAAAGAGAGAGAGAGAATTTTTAATATTTATTTTTTTAGTTTTCAGTGGACACAACATCTTTGTTTGTATGTGGTTCTGAGGATTGAACCTGGGCCGCACGCATGCCAGGCGAGCGTGCTACCACTTGCGCCACATCCCCAGCCCCGGAATTTATATTTTAATTAGGAGGAAAATAATTTTTTTATTATGTACAAAGTTGCTAGGATTAGAAGTAAATAATTGAAATATTTAGTATTAGAGCATCACAACATGGTTTATGACTAAATACTAAAATTAGTGTTGTAGACTGGAAATGTTGTGGGTAGATAGAAGTGAGAGAAACATAGATTGAAGTGGTTGAGAAAAAAGCCTTGGGGAGAAGATGGGTTTGAAGCATTCCATAATGTTGGTGAAAGGATGGTATGGAGCTATGAATAGAAAATTTATTCTTCTCTCTTCAGATTTCATCTTTTGAATTTATCTTTTAAACTACTCCAAAAGACTTATCTTTTTTGTATTAGTACATATTATAGAGGAATAGATATCATTGTGGGATATTCATATATGCATATAAGACACTTATATCTTGATTCTTTCATTACCACAGCACTTTGGATAGTTTCAAAATAGGTCATCTTGGGGCTGGGGTTGTGGCTCAGTGGTAGAGTACTTGCCTAGCACGTGTGAGGCACTGGGTTAGATAAAGAAAGAAAGAAAGAAAGGTATTATTAATCTGCAACTAAAAAACATTTCAAAAAAATAGGTCATCTTTGTTAATTTTTGGATTGTAGTGTTACAGTTAGTGCTTAATATATAAGATTTTTGTTAATAGGAAGGTAAATTGGCTTTCAGGTTAGTTCTTACACAATTTTAAACATCTGACAAGATGTTATAAAATCTCACTAGATTTAATGAATATTATTAAAAATATCAATTTAATATTTTATTTACAGACAGGCTCTCACTTAGTTGCTTAGGGCCTAACTAAGATGCTGAGACTGGCTTTGAACTCAAGATCCTCCTGCCTCAGCCTCCCTAGCTTCTGGGATACAGGTGTGCACCTGACTTACAGCCTTTTATTTTAAAAAAGTTACAAGTTAGCCAGGCATGGTTGCATATACCTATAATCCCAGCAGCTGGGGAGGCTGAGGCAGGAGGATCACAAGTTCAAGGCCAGCCTTAGAAACTTAGCAAGGCTCTAAGCAACTTAGCAATTAGTGAGACCCTGTCTCAAAATGAAAAATAAAAAGGACTGAAAATGTAGCTCAGTGGTAAATCACCCCTGGGTTTAATCCCCAATTCTGAAAAAAAAAAGAAAGAAAATAAAAAATATTAGGTTAATTATCAGTTTTTAATTGTAAAAATATTTTTCTTTGCTTTTAGACTTAAATCAACCATGTTATTGATATCAGAGGAGCTCACCAGCCAGCAAGCCTTAGCAGTGGTGAAAGCAATGGAAGATATGGAAAGCAGAAATTCACATTTGATTAAAAAGTAATCTTTACTGAAAGTCCTGGTGTTTAGTTGTCATTCAGAAGTAGCCTTTTTTTTTTTTCCAAATTTTTTTTTTTTTTGTAGTTGTATATGGACAGAATGCCTTTATTTTATTTTTATTTTTTTTTTTATTTTTTTTTTTTGTAGTTGTAGAGGAACAGCGTGCCTTTATTTTGTTTTGTTTATATGTGGTGCTAAGAATTGAACCCAGTGCCTCACACATGGCTAGGAAAGTGCTGTGCCATTGAGCTACAGCCCCAGCCCCATAAGTAGTAAAAGAATTGAGTAAAATAATTGTTTTTTATAATAATTGTTTTGAAGAAATAAGGAGTCAGCACTTAAGGCATTGCTTTTGTTCTTGTTTCTTTTTCACAATAGAGGTAACAAAAATTTTTATATCATCTTTCATTTCATTTACTGCTGCTGTTCTGCTAGAGCAAAGTATCATAATCCACACAAGTGGAGAGCACAGAACAAGGAACCTACTATTCAAGAGAACAGTTAACATCCATCTATACTACAGTGTTACCTTGAAAAAATAATACCATATTCTGGCTTTTTAAAATTTATTTACTTATTTTTTAGGTGTAGGTGGACACAACACAATGCCCTTTTATTTTTATGTGGTGCTGAGGATCAAACCTGGGTCCCGCCCATGCTAGGCAGGTACTCTACCGCTGAGCCACAATCCCAGTCCCGTATATTCTGGCTTTTTTGATAACTTGAAATTGAAGAAAAAAATATATTTTTAAATTATGTATGCTTAATTTTCATTATCTATCATATGTGCATTTCTTTTGATATTTCTTCTAGTTACCTCTTAGCATTTCCCATTTATATATATATATGTATATATATAATATATATATTATATATATATATTTTTTTTGTTCTAATTATACATGACAGTGGAATGCATTTTGGCCCATCATACACAGATGGAGTATAATTTCTCATTCATCTGGTTGTACATGATGTAGAGTTACACAGTCATGTAATTATATATGCACATAGGGTCATAATATCAGATTCATTCTCCTATTATTCCTACCCCCATGGCTCCCATTTTTTGTGTGTGTGGTGGTCGTGCTGGGGATTCCATTGTTTTTAAGCATTTCTGTTTGAGGGCCAGTAGATTTAAGGAAGAAAATTAAATCACTTTTGTCAATTGTTATTAATTTGGTAAAGATTTTGTTATGAGGCAGATGTAGAATTTGTAGTCCTGTTCTGTGAAATTTTTTTAAAAAAATTATTTAGGAAGTAAAACTATGCTTTTCTAGCTTTTTACTATTCATAGTTGAATATTATTTATTTCATACTTCACTGATTGTTTAATTTTAATTATTTACATTTTTTCCCTCTTTTTCTTCCTTCCTTCCTTCCTTCCATCCTCCCACCCCGCTTTCTTGTACCGGGGATTGAACCCAGGGGTGTTTTACCACTAAGCTCATCCCTAGTCTTTTTTTTTTTGATACCAGCGATTAAACTCAGGGGCACTTGACCACTGAGCCACATCCCCAGCCCTGTTTTATATTTTATTTAGAGACAGGGCCTCTCTGAGTTGCTTAGCGCCTCACTTTTGCTGAGGCAGGCTTTGAACTCTGAATCCTCTTGAATCAGACTCCTGAGCTGCTGGGATTACAGGTGTGACCACTGCGTCCGGCCCCTTGTCCTTTTTATTTTTTATTTTGAGACAGGTTCTTACTAATTTGCCAAGGCTGGCCTTGAACTTGCTAATCTTTCTGCCTTAGCCTCCTGAGTTGCTGAGATTACAGATGTGCACCACACCACCTGATTTTTTTTTTTTTTTTTGGTAACTTGGATTGAACCAAGGGGTACTTAACCACTGAGTCACATCCCCAGCCCATTTTTATACTTTATTTAGAGACAGGGTCTCACTAAGTTGCTTAGGACCTTACTAAGTTGTTGAGACAGGCTTTGAATTTGAGATCTTCCTGCCTCAGCCTCCCCAGCTGCTGGGATTATAGGCATGGCTCACACCTGACTCTTAATTATAATTGTTTACATATTTCTATTGCCATCTTGAGATAGTTCTGTAAAAAACAGAAAATCTTGTCTCCTTCACTGCTGTTCCTCCAGCACAGAGCAGAGTATCTGGAATGAAAACTGCACAGTGTTTCATAAATCAATGAGTAAAATGGTTATATGTTCTGTCATTCTTTTTAGAATTGCTTCAGTTTTGCATAAACATTTGGATGACTATAAACCAGTAGAGTTATTGAAGATAACTCAGGCATTAATTTTTCTACATTTTCAAAGTAAAGCGCTTTTTGTGAAACTCAGAGAATTGCTGCTTAGGTAAGATTAAAATATGAATTTGTTCAGTGTTTTGTAATCTATCTGCAATATTTGAATTGCTTAATTATGTACAGAATTACTAGACTTTTTGGAGGGGAAATTGAGGAGTTTGTTATTAAAAATGTTAAGATCTGGGGGTGTAGCTCAATGGTAGAATGCTTGCCCAGCATAATTGAGGACCTAGGATCAAAACCCTAGTAGCATAAAAGGGAAAAAATTATTTTAAAGATGAGAATAATTACTGGAATGAGGTTCAGGCCAAATCAATCTTTTCCCCTCCATTTATCACTACTAATTTGATTTCTCATATTGATTTCTAAAAGATAAAGCATGGGATTATATATTGTAATCAAAACATTGACATATATTGAAAATGATTTTTATTGTAATAAAGTGATATGTTATTATGATTAAAAAGAATTTGAACTGAGAAATAAGGATTGACTTTTTTCAGATGAGAATTTAACATGTTAGATATAAGAGTTTACCCTTTTCTTGAAGAAATAGCTTTCTTATTTAAATGATTACATCCATGGTTATTGTTTCTTTACCCTTTCTGTGTTTCATATAGAATCTGAGTAGTGAGAGTACCTTATATATCTCTATAGTTTAAAATTTTATCAAAAATGTCTTTTCTTTCTTGCTGGGTACAGTGGAGCACGCCTGTAACCCTAGCGGCTTGTGAGGCCAAAACAGGAGGATTGAGAGTTCAAAGCCAGCTTCAGCAATGGGGAGGCACTAACCAACTCAGTGAGACCCTATCTCTAAATAAAATACAAAATAGGGCTGTGATGTGATTCAGTGGTTGAGTGCCCTGAGTTCAATCCGGTACCCACCCCCCAAAAAAAGTTTTTTCTCATTTATTTATTGTTTTAGTTCTAGCCATCAAACTCAGGGTCTCATGCTTGCAACATAAGTGATCTCCACTGAGCTGTCCCCCCACTCTACAAAAAAATATGTTTTTCTTCCTTTTTTTTTTTTTTTTTTGAGATAGAGTCTTAGTATGTTTCCCAGCCTGGCCTAGAAATAATGGTTCTCCTATCTTCAACTCCCAAATAGTTGGGGATTGATTATAGGTGTATAACACCATACCCTGCTCAAAAACTATTTTTGAGTCATTGAGTAATTTAAAATTTGGGGAGAATTTATAAAAAAATTGTAAGTGCTTCATGATTTAGAATTACCTCCCTTCACTTCAGTATAGACAATTTCAAGTTGGTATTAGAGGGAATGAAGTCTAATTCAATTAACATAAGTGCTTATATAAAAAGTTCCTGAAACAGCTCAGAAAACTTGAGAGTTCTTGTATTGAAATAACATCTGGTTGAGGTTTATTTTGGTACTGAGGACTGAACCAGGGATGCTTTACCACTGAGCCACATGCTCAGCTTTTTATTTTTTATTTTGAGACAGGGCCTCCCTAAATTGCTGAGGACCTCACTAAGTTGCTGAGACTGTCCTTGAATTTGCTTTCCTCCTGCCTCAGTTTCCTAAATTGCTGGGAATATAGGTTTGAGCTACCATGCCCAGCTATGTTTGTTATTTTTTAACTTAATGAAGTATAATCTACATAAAAATGTACATATCCCCCATCTTATTGCTTTGTACCTATCTCCAGGGTTAACTGCTCTTTCTATTTCTAGCTGTGTGTGATTAGTTTTGCCTTTATACTTTTATATAAACAGAATTATGCAGTATGATTTATTTTTTATCTGGATTGTGTGAATTTTAGTGGTTTTTTTGTTTGTTTTTTGTGGTATTTGGATTTGTTTATTTATTATTTTTTGAAACAGAGTCTTGCTATGTTGCCTGCATTCCTTGTGTTTGTTTATCTGTGCTAAATTAATATTTTAAAAAGCAACTCAGTTTTTTTTTAACTTAGATTGGATTATTCCTTCTTCTACTTCTAAATCTGAAGATTTTTTAAAAGCTCCCAGATTTTTTTATTTATAGTTTAACAATTGATGTCCCCTTGGTGGACTGTTCAGCATGGAGATTTTGGGAAAGAATATTGTATGTGGTGTGTGTGTGTGTGTGTGTGTGTGTTTTGTGGTTGGACTTCCTATATAACTGAAATGAAAGGGAAGTAATATTGAATGATTACTTTGTGCCAGGCCTATACAAGGTCAAAGCAGTTCCTGACAGGTCATATTAGAAACTGAGCCCAAATTCTTCCTCTAGCAACAGCACTAGAAACATTACTCTGACACTGACCTTCTGTTTGGCAGGGACTATGGTTTTATTTTTGCATAAAAAACTCGGAGCATGCTTTGGGAAATCTTAGGCTCTTCTCAGTGACCCTTTGCAACTTGTCATTTTTAAAGTATCTAAATATTCTTAAATTAGCTCCCATTTTAAGCTTACCTCATATGTTGATTATAATAATAATGATATATTCACTTTTAATATATATATATTTTGGTTTTGCTGGTTGCTGATGTATTAATTTTGTTCTTTTCATCCCTACCCCTTCTTTTATAGTTATTTGAAAGTTAGTGTCATACCGAGTGAGATTTCCATCCTGGTCTATGCTATTTCCATGCTTCCTTCTCCTCACCTAGATGAAGCATCAGTATCCCGAATTGAAGCAGTTTTACCACAGTGTAACCTATATGGCTTGAATGATTTTGCCACATCTGTTTTAAGATGGATTCAGTATGATCACATGCATATGAGTAGCATTACTGGGAAACAACTGAAACTACTTCAACAATTAGATCACTACAGTCATCAGAGATTACAACAAAGCAACAATTTAGATCTGTTATGGGAAGAAGTTAAATCTTTAAAAGAAGACTGGTTTCGTGAATCTCTTGTTGAAGAAACAATTGCAGCTTTACATCGTTTGATGGATGGAATGAATTGTATGAACGTTTCAAAGATTGCATCTTTTATATCTAGAACTAACTACCTCAGTACTTTGCTACTTGATAAGATAGCCTCAGTGGTTATTGAGCAGATTGAAAAGGTGAAATTTAAATGTTATACTTTAGTATAACATAAGTACTTTAAGAACTTGGATTAGAATTTAAAGGTTAAAAATTAATCTATGGTTTCTGGTTCAATAATTTGTTCTCCCTTTAAAACCACTACCTCCAGATTTGGGGAGATCAGTGGCATTCTTTGCTTCCTTACAGTATTGTTAAGATCAGTAATCAGAATTCTTTGACTAGAAGGAAACACTTAAAATGATACTGAGTGTATTAAGGTAGTAGAGGATGAAGAATTTTTGTTTTTCCTTTTTCTTTTTTTATAATCCTATGGTATTGCTTTTATTGTTTTAAAATATTTGTGTTCAAAAGTGCATGATAAGTGTGAAAACTTAGAAAATTGTAAGATATACACTGACATCAGTATTCTTCAATTGTCAGTGCATCTTTTTAAAAAAATATTTTGAGTTGTAGATGGGCACAATACTTTATTTTTATGTGGCGCTGAGGATCAAACCCTGTTCTTCACACATGCAAGATAAGTGCTTTAGCACTGAGCTACAACCCTGGCCCTGTCAGTGTATCTTATCACAGGTTTATTTCTGAAACTAACCTATAAAATGATGCTTTGTGGATTATGTGAGAAGAATCTCACTTATATAATCACTATTGTAAATACAATATATATATACAATCAGGATAAGGCCTTTACTTAGATGACAGTATTTCTCAACAAATGAAAATAAAAGTCTTATTTGCTTAGCTTAGTGCCTAACAGTTATTAAGTATTGGATGAGTGAGTGAATAATGAAATTTAAAAAAAGAATAAATGAAAACAGTATGTTGATGATTACAAATTAAGAAACTTATTTATTTATATGATGATTCTGTAAAATGCACTGATATGGAAATAAGTGATTCTGTTTACTATTTTAATTAGTAGTGGGATCTGTATTAGAGTTTTACAACTAATGAAATCAATTTGTAGATTGTCTAATTTTTTCTGCATTAGCACTTTTGGAATTGTTAATAATAATTAGTCATGGAGTTAAATAAGTTTATAGCAGCATAGAAAAAATTAATAAGCAGAGTGATAACATCTATCATTTAACTATAGTCATGTTAGGAAAAAGTTGACTTAAAATAATAATTAGGGGCTGTAGCTCAGTGGTAGAGTGCTTGCCTGGCATGTATGAGGCACTGGGTTTAATCCTCAACACCACATATAAATAAATAGGTAAATAAATAAATAAAATAAAGGGGTCCATCTACAACTGAAAAAGTGTTTAAAAAATAATAATTAGGTTAAAATTTTCTTTCAGTTTACTGAAGTTTAACTGTAAAATATTTGTTCTATTTATACAGATCCATCCTTTTTCAATTCTTGCTATTATTCTTCCATTCAGCATTTTGAACTATGATCCACCTCAAAGGAATGAATTTTTGGGGACATGCATGCAATGCCTTAATTCTCACTTAGGTGGGTATATTGTTTGGTAATGCATTGAATGAGTAGATCAGAGGATACTTGAGCTAAGTATGAGCTTAGAGGTGTCCCTCATTATAGGATAAGCATAAATAGTCATGAATTCTGTACCTAAGCATGTTTTATATCCCTTTTTGAAACTTTCATCATGAAAAATGTAAAACCTGTATTAAAAATGAAAAGAATTGAATAAGAAACACCTATACTCAATGTGTAGATTTAGTAATGCTACCATTTTATCATATGTGCCTTGTCTGTTTTTCTCTCTTGTTCACTTTTTTTTGGAGCCATTTCTAAGTATGTTGTAGACATTGTGATCTTTTATCCCTAATCACTGTACTATATGCTTTCTAAGAATAATAACACTTCATACTGTTAGCACATCTAAGAAACTTATTAATTGTTCCCAAATATCTAATATATAGTCCACATTTAAATCTCCCCAATTGTTCCTAAATGCCTTTTAGGTTATTTTGGACCCAGGATCCATGAAGGTTCACTCTTTGCTTTTGGTTGTAATCTTTTCAGTCTCTTGTAGTCTACAATATTTTTTCTATTTTAAACTCGGAATTGATATTTCATGGGGAGGTTTTTTACTTTTTTCTAACTTTTTGTTATTAAAGTTTTCAAATATTTAGAAAAATTGAAAGGACAATATCAGACATCTGTATATTGTATACTTATAATCTTAGCTTGAATAATGATTAACAGTTGAACAAGTAATATCTACTTCCTGGTCCACAATCACACTTTCCCAGTTGTTCTTTCTAACTTTTTTAAAACAACCAGGGGTTGGGGATATAGCTCAGTTGATAGAGTGCTTGCCTTACATGCACAAGGCCCTGGGTTCAATCCTCAGTACCACAAAACAAAACAAGACAGAATTTAGTGGTTATGTCACTTTCCCCCTATCTTTTTTCCTGATATTTATTTTATAGAATAGAGATCAGCCATTTATTGTAGGTTGTGTCACATTATGGATTTGTCCATTTGCTTTCTTTTGGCTTGTTCCTCCATTTCCTGTATTTCTAGCAAATTAGAAGTTAGTTATAGAAACTTAAAATTAAGTTTAGATGTGTCTTATATTTATATGAGATCTGGAAACACATACTATTTGATTGTTTCTGTCCATTTTAACAGTTTGTTTATTGAAAGTAAATATTTCTTAGGTGCTTTAGGTGTTTATGAATTGTCTGAAAGGTTGGTGCTCTGGTGCTGATTATTTTGTGTGTCCTAAAAAAGTTTTAAAATAATGTTTCAGTACTGGGGCAAAATGGAGTAAAGTTGGTCTTTCCTGTCATTGGCGTTAGCAGAAGCAGATAACAAGAGGCAGGAAATTATTTTTTCCCTGTTATTCCTTATTTTGGCTTCTGAATTGTATTTGAGAGAAGTTGGCCTTCAAGGAGTAGGGTTTAAATTTTTTTAAATTGGTATAAAATAAGTATCACATAACAGTGGGTTTTGTTGTAGCATTTTATATATGCATATGATATAATTTGATCGGTTTCATTCCACAGTCCCTCCTCTTCTTTCTCTTCTTTCTTCCCTCCACCTTATTTCCTTCCTCTACCCTAATGGTTTCCCTTCTATTTTCAGGAAATTCTCCTACTCCCTTTCTTTTATTTTTTCTCTCTAGCTTAAACATATGAGAGAAAACATACACTTGTCTTCCTGAGTCTTGCTTATATTACTTAATATAATGCTTAAGGGTAGGGTTTTATGGGGCTTTTCTTCTCAGATCCTAACCACTTCTTATCCGTGAAATTTTTAAAAGTGAACTATCTGGTAGTTCTTACCTTTTCAGTGAACACCCTCCATATATATTTTTTGTATATGTGTATGGTACTAGGAATTGAACCCAAGGCCTTATGCATGTTGGCAAGCACTTACCACTGAGCTATGAGCCCTTTTAAAAGTTTTTAGTTTCAGACAGACTCAAACTTGTGATGTTCCTACCTTAGCCTCCTCCCTAGTGGATGGGGTTACAGGCGTGTGCCTCTGTGCATGGCTTTACCACATGGTTATTGTTAGGTACTCTGCTAGGCACTAGTGATAAGGGAGGGAGAGAACAAAAACAGGTAGGTTACCATTGTTGAATTTACTTTCTGGTGAGGAGATACTAGTAGAAAGCATAGACAAATCTATATGGTCATGTGTGAGAAGTACTCTCAAGAACATTACTGCAGGGTGAGTGTTCAGGATGGAGCATAGTGGAGTAGGGTGGGGTACTAGCCTCAAATATTTGTACACTCAACCTAGAGTCCTGAGATCCCCAGTGAGCAGCACAGTGTCATAGAGCTGGACTTTCTGAGTTAATCCCCACCTTAATTAATAATTCTGTCATCTGGGGCAAGTCTTTAACTTCTCTGTGCTTCCCTATTCCCATTTAATATAAAACAGAGATAATATTCTGTAAATTCTATTTACATAAATGAGGTTTAAATGAATTAACATCTATAAAGTGCTTAGAGTGGTACCTACCAAATTCTGAGCACTATTACATCATTATCACCAAACATAGACACTAGGATCACTTCTCTTTTTACTTAGTCTACTGTCCTTTTGTTTTTAGTTCTTTTTCTTTCAAGGCAGTTTTTAAAACTTTTAATTAAATTATAACAACATTTATATAAACTTTGTATAATAGTTTGAATTTACCTATATTGAATCAACCTAGGGAATCAGAAACAGAATATTATAGTATCTTTCTTCTCTTTTCCCCCTTTCTTATCCCCACCCATTTAACTACTATCCTGACTTAGAACAGTATTGATTAGTTTTGTCAATGCTAATTATATGTATTTTTAAACCTGTTTTTATCTGAATAAATTATATATTTACCTATATGTGAGGCAGCTGTACATTACACATTTTATTAAATCAAGTTTTCTTTTAGGTACATTGGATCCTATTATGTTAGTGTTTCTTGGTTTCTCTTTGGCAACCCTTGAATATTTTCCAGAAAATTTGCTGAAGACAATTTTTAACATCAAATTCTTAGCAAGATTAGATTCTCAACTTGAAAGTACGTATCTACATTTAATTTTTTAAATTATCACTTGTACTTTATGTCAACTCTATCCATACTGAATCATTTAATTTTAATGCTACTTTTTTTCCTATAAATAAAATTATTTTATGACATTGTCAGGAGGTATAGCTTACCTAGCACTTGCCTAACACGAAGCCCTAGATTTTTCATACTTATTGTAGAAAATTTGGAAAACATAAAAATAGAAAATAGAAAGTAAAAAAATTACCCATAATTTTACCACCAGGTGAAACTGTTGATTGTTCATTCATTTCTTCCTTCCTTTATTGGGGTATTTTTTTTCTGTTTTTCTCTTGATTTTAATGTTTATATATCTGTATGTATTTTAAAGCAAATTTGGATTATTTATATATTTATTTTGTATGCTGTCCTTTCTCATCTAACCATATTTTGAGCAAAATTCCATGTCATGAAATATTTTTAAAATATTTTTTAGTTGTAGTTGGACACAATGCCTTTATTTTATTTATTTTTATGTGGTGCTGAGGATTGAACCCAGGGCCTTGCACGTGCTATGTGAGTGCTCTACTGCTGAGCCACAACCCCAGGTCATGAAATATTTTTTGATGTCATGATTATTATTTTTCTTTATTTGGGTACTGGGGATTGAACTCAGGGGCACTCAGCCACTGAGTCACATCCCCAGCCCTATTTTGTATTTTATTTAGAGTCAGGGTCTCACTGAGTTGTTTTATGACTCACTTTTGCTGAGGTTGGCTTTGAACTCTCAATCCTCCTGCTGAGCTGCTGAGATTACAGGTTTGAGCCACCTCACCTGGCTCATGATTTTTTTCTTTAAATATATATTTATTTTTTAGAAGTAGTTGGACACAATACCTTTATTTTATTTACTTATTTTTATGTGGTGCTGAAGATTGAACCCAGGGCCTCGCACATGCTATACAAGCGCTCTACCACTGAGCCACAATCCCAGCCCCTGATTTTTTAATTGTATATATAATATGCCATTATATAGATATAATAAAATTCACTTGTTATAGGTTGTTTCCTGTTCCTCATTATTATAAATAATGAATTATTACATAGTGAATTATTACAATCATTGATTGTTTCCTTAGAATAAATTTCCAAATATGGAGTATTAGGTCAATGAAATTGTGTTTTTGTTTTTAGGTTTTGAACCATGGCCTCAAACACACTAGGCAAGTGCTCTACCACTGAGCTACATCCTCAGTCCTTGGTAGTATTTTTTTAAATGTAGTTGTAAAATTCACAACTAATGAAAATGGTATAGAAGTTGTTCCTAATCATGCTCCTTAAATACAATAATTTAAAAATGTAAAGTGTTTTTGTATAAACGAAGTGACTTTATAATATGCGTGAAAGTATCAACCAATAGTGGGGATAAATGATGTGAAAAAATGAGATGTTTTTGTAAGTCTAAACTATTAAAATTATTAGTACTTCATTTTTATTTCAGTTTTACCATCATCACTACGTTCAAGGGTCCAGTTTCGTCTTATGGAATTAAATAGAGCAGTCCGCTTGGAATGCCCTGAGTTTCAAATTCCATGGTTTCATGACCGCTTCTGTCAACAACATTATAATAAAGGTTTGAGTTTTCTTTTGGTGAGATAGTGAAATTTAATTCTGTGGTAAAGTATTAGGGAGTACATTGTTACTACTGTTAAAACTAAATGTGATACTAGAGTTTCCAAGAGGGCCTGTTTGATTTTTTTAGTTGAGATTTTGTAAGTGCAATTTGTGTTACAAAAATTTCTTAAATAAGACACTAAACCTCTTGCGAGCAAGAACTTGTATTTGGGACAGGTTATTATGAGTGTATTGAATTTATTGTCATTACATTGAAGTTTTTATTGGAAACATTAATTTTTTTCATTTTGTGGAATTGGGATTGTTATCATTCGAAAACTAACTACTTAGGACTCATTTTTGTTTTCATAAAGATACTGGCAGCATGAATGGAGCACAACTGCAAATTTATAAAATGTTAGCAGAGGTACTAGGAGGAATCAATTGTGTAAAAGCCTCTGTTCTTTCGCCTTATTACCACACAGTAGGTAAGTCACTGATAGAGAACTGCTAATTTTAATAGAGTTATCTCATCAACTGGAATTTTAAAAAATTAAAATATTTTTGCAAGTTGTTGTTATGAAAATTTCCAAATACCGTGAGCCAGTCTGGGCAACTTGATGAGACCCTGTCTCAAAATAAAAAGGGCTGGGATATAATTCAGTGATATAGTGACCCTGGGTTAAATCCCTATATGCAAAAAGTTTGTTTTTTTTTTTTTAATTTTTTATTGTTGGTTGTTCAAAACATTACAAATTTCTTGATATATCATATTTCACACTTTGATTCAAGTGGGTTATGAACTCCCATTTTTACCCCATATACAGATGCAAAAAGTTTTTAAAAACAAAATTTCCAAAAGCAAAAAAATGAACAATACAATGAATCCTCAAATTCCCATGGCCCAGCTTTGATAACAATCAGCATTTTGTTGTTTTTCAAGAAAATTTTTTTAAGGTCAGTCTTTCACCAGCTGTAAGTAAAACCCAGATTCAGATTCACTGGTCCTGGATCTGTAAAAGATTCTGTCTCCATTACTTAGTGCCCCATCATCAATAAAATGACTTACCTTGATTCATTATTTTAAGTTCATCTCAAAAACTAACTTGGATTATCAGCCTGGATAAAAATTTCCAGAAATATTGTGCCTGTCCCTAATCTGATCAGTCTGTTTTTCGGGTAGTCTATTTGTAAAAGGCATTCTGATTTAATTGTGGATGACATAATCTGGTGCTATATGATGTCAGATGGCAGTACTGTATAAGATTCAAAAAGAGTGAGGCATGGTGGTAGACGCCTGTAATCCCAGCTCATCAGAAGGCTGAGGAAGGAAGATTGCAAGCTCGAAGCCAGCCTCGGCAATTTAGCGAGACCTGTCTCAAAATAAAAAATAAAAAGGGGTAGGGATGCAGCTCAGTGGCAAAGTGCCCCTGGGTTCAATACCCAGTACTGTTAAAAAAAAAAAAAATTCACAAAGATATTACTAAGTTCAAGTGCTGGGTGTAAATGAAAAAGATAATGCTTTAAGAGGATTAACATAAGTTTTCTATGATTAGATTGGAAGGTGCCTGCTTAATGTAAAGGGTTGCCAGAAATCAAATATTATTTTAATTACATTAATAATAAAGAAAGTTAGTAGTGTCACTGTACTCTGTCCTTTAGACAATTTTTTTTCATGTTACTCTTTATGACAGTAAGTGACAAATAGGGTCAAGAAACAACAGATGGTCAAGGATCTATAAATTATGTCTTAGAAGTAGAGAGGACTAGGACTGCATGGATCTCGATCCTTGAGCAAATTCCTCTTTTTTTCTTTATTTTATGGGGATAGTAATGGCTGTTTAGTAGAATTAATTCAAGTATTGCATGTAAAGCATTTAGCACTACCCTTGGAACATAGTAAATTATATTTTTTGGGGAAAAAACAGCTAGGGATGTTTGATTTGAAAATAGAAGTCTCATTGGGAACATAACTGTTTTAAGATATTTGCCCCAGCACTGCAAAACCAAAACCAAAACAAACCAAACAAAACAAACACACAAAAGAAACAAATAAAATGTTTGAAGGATTGTCATATGGAAAAACAACTTGATATCTCTATTTAAGGGATGAGAAAATGGTAAAATTAATGGAAGCACACTTTAAGTCAGTATAAGAATAATTATGGACTACTTTATGAAGAACTTATGTTGAGGCAGAATGTGGATGATCAGATGATCCTGTGTATGTATAAGGCTGACCCAGATAATCATTAGCACAAAACACATACTCTCTTTTGTCTATTTTTTTTTTATAAGTCAGGATTAGGGTTGATGATGAGTAACAAAAATCCACAGATATCAGGAACTTAAATTACACCTTTATTTCCTTCTCCGCTACATGTAGAGTCCAGGGCTGGCATGCCACCTCCACAAACATGAGGTATGCACGATACTTCCATTTCTGGTCCAAAATAGCTGCTCTGGCTTCAGCCACTCCACTAAGACCCCAGCAGAAAGAGGAGGGAAGGAGCAGGAAGGATATATCTTATATTTAAGCAGAGTTTCCTGAAGTTAAACATACCATTTTTAGTTATGATCTATGACCATACTTGGCTGCAAGTGAATTTAGAAAATGTGGTATTTATTCTGAAAGATCACATACTCTATCATTAAAAGTGAGGGGAAGAATTAGTACTGGGGGAAAACTTGCAGTCTCTGCTAGACATTATTTATTGTAAAAGTAATACTCATGGAAGTAAATGTACTAAAATATAAATATGAAAATGATCTGTAATTCCATCTTATAGAGGGTTCTTTGACATCTTAAAATTAAACAGGCACTATAGCCAGCTCCTTATTTCTATCATCTCATTTCATTCCTTTTTTAAAATTTTCTTTCAAACTAGGAATAATACATATCCACTATAGAACAATTAAATAGTACAGAAAAGTAAAAAAAGGAGAGAGAGGAAAAATCACTCATAATAACCTGTCACAAAATCAAGCATCATGATTAAACTAGTATTATTACATCATAGGCCCATTGTATTTCCATTTTGTATTTGTAACTCCCACTGTCAAGAGAATTATTTTTATGTGAAAATGCATATAAATCTTTAGAATAAAATTTGAGTAGTGATGCTTGTGTATAGGGGAATGGCATGATTAAGACAACATATTGTACGATTAAAAACTATGAAGCAGAATTTAAGATATTAAAAAAAAACAACACTTAAAACAATCATATGAGCAGCTTGCAAGGGCATACACCTATAAATCCAGCAACTCAGGAGGCTGAAGCAGGAGGATCACAAGTTTGAGGCTAGCCTCAGCAACTTAGTGAGGCCCTAAGCAATTAGTGAGATCCTGCTCAAAATAAAAAATAAAAAGGATTAGGGATATGGCTCAGTGTTAAAATGCTTCTGGGTTCAATCCCCAATACAAAAATAAATAAATAGGGGCTGGGGCTGGGGTTCAGTGGTAGAGTGCTCGCTTAGCATGTGCAAGGTACTGGGTTTGATCCTCAGCACCACATAAAAATAAATAAATAAATAAAGGTATAAAAAAATCACATCAATCTTTAAAAAAAGTAAGTAAATAAATAAAAACAAAATGTCATATGCTATGTGCTTACCATAGAATAAACCAGAAAAGGTAGATAACCACAAATAATAATTATCCATGATATAGCCACTGTTTACTTTTGGTGTCTGTTTTTATATTTATAACTTACTTTTAAAACCAAGAATAGCTATTCTGAGGTATCTATGTCTTAATCTATTTGTGCTGTTATAACAAAATTCCTGAGATTAGGTAATTTATAAACAACAGAAATGTATTTCTCACAGTTCCAATGGTTGGGAAGGCTAAGATCAAGGAACCCATAGGTATGGTGAGGACTGCTCTCTGCTTCCAAGATGGCACGTTGAATGCTGTATCCTCACATGATAGAAGGAACAGAAGGGCAATAAAGGACCTACTGTGTCCCTCAAGAGTGATAATCTCATTAAAGAGAGCACTGCCCTCATGGCTTAATCATCTCCTAAAGGTCCCATCTCTTAATACTGTCACACTGATGATCAAGTTTTGATAGATGAATTTTTGGGAAAACATTCAAATCATAGCATTTGTAATTTTATTTATATGTTGTGAATATTTTCGTATGCCAACAGATATACTTATCCAACATCATTTTTAGTGTTTGCATATTTTATTGAATGAGTATGCTATGATTAAATTAGTCCATAATTTTTTTTTAAAGAGGGAGAATTTTTTTTTAATATTTATTTTTTAGTTTTTCAGTGGACACAACATCTTTGTTTGTATGTAGTGCTGAGGATCGAACCCGGGCCACACGCATGCCAGGCATGCGCGCTACCCCTTGAGCCACACATCCCCAGCCCCTAGTCCATAAAATTTTTTACTGGTCTAAGCATTGACACTAATTTAAGTGTTTTATAGATAAAATGAACTTATTTATTATATCTAAGTTAATAAACTTATTTATATATATATTTATAATAAATAAACTTATTTATTATATCTAAATAATGAACTTACTTATATCTATAAAACACTTAAATTAGTGTCCCATAAGGCATGTAAATTATTCTACTTTTCGGATGAGGAAACTGAGGCCCAGAAACATTACTGTTTGCTCAAGTTTATATATCTAGCAAATGACAAAGCCTGGATTTGATGTGGGCATTCTGGCTCCAGAATTCAGTCTCTTAGTGATTGAACTATATTTCATGTTTCGTAATTGACTTGAAGATGCTTCAGTGCCCAATTTCCCTTATATGTAAGAAATAGATAATCAATTTTCTCTTTTCTCCTTTTAATTCATTGTTTCTTTTTATTTGTTTCCTTTTTTCTTGACTTAAATATGTACCACTCTGCCCAACTTTATGATTGTGTTTTATTATGGAAAAAATTCAAACATATAAAAAGATAGACTAGAGCTGAGCATGGTGGCACATGCCTGTAGTTCCAGCTACTGGGAGGCTGAGGCCCAGGAATTTGAGGTCAGCCTGGACAACATAGTAAGACTCTCATCTCTAAAAACTAAAAACAAAAAACTAGAATTAGAATAATACATAATGAATTTCATTCAGAGTCACATTCATCAACACCAGTCACCAGAATCCATCTGATTCTTTTCATGCAAATTATGGACAATATTATCATTTCAGAATGTATATCAAATGACAAGGATGACTTTAAAAACATGACAGTATCAGCATACTTCTCCCATGACGATTAATAATAATTTCTTAATATCACATAGCCTTTTGGTTTTATGTTTTATTTTATAGTTTATTTGTTCAAATTGGGATCCAAATATTGCATTTAGTTTAGTTTAGTTTTGTTTTCCTTCTATTTTACAATGCTGGGAATGGAACCCTGGGCCTTGTACGTGTTAGGTAAGTACTCTACCACTCCGCTACTACATGCCTGGCCCTGATTTGTCTACGTTTCTTTTCTTTTTTTTTTTTCTTATAGTTTATTTATTGAGAAAAATTTTCTTTTCATAATCTAGACTTCTCCAATTGTGACCGACCCTGAGGTGATATTTAATCTGCTCATGTTTCTCTTGTATTTCCTTAAACAGTAGTAGAGCTAGAGGCTTGATTGTATTTTAGATTAGGTTGTTGCTTTTATTTTGGCCATGATGTGTACTTATTCCATTATATCACTGTTTTATTTTATTAATGCTTAGCGGTGGGTTTGTATATTATCAACTGATTGATTTATTAGAAACTTCTCTCATGGGAGCTGGGTTGTAGCTCAGTGGTAGAATGCTTGCCTAGCATGTGTGATGCACTGGGTTTGATCCTCAGAACATTAAAAAAAAAGTAAATAAACAAAATGAAGGTGTTGTGTCCATCTACAACTAAAAAAATTTAAAAAAAAAACTTCCCTCATCGGCTCTTTACATATTAATTTTAGCAGCCACAATTGATCACTCATTGCCCAAGTCTGTCATTCATTAGGGATGGAAAAATAGCAATATTCCACATTTATCATTCCTTCTACATTTATTATGTCTAAAAAGAACTTTCCCATTCAATTAATTTAGTTAACCTTATGTACAGTTCACATAGGAAATACAGGATATATGCTTAAATCTTTTACTAGTCTTCAGAGGAATTGTTTTAGCTTCTTCAAAATGTGACCAAGAGACTTAAGGAGATTTAAATAAAACTTTAATGTAGCCCTATGCTATGGTTTATTAATAATTGCTGGTTGATTTTTTTATTGATTGATTTTCAAAGAGGCCATGATAACTTAGGCCATGCTATTATACCAGATCTTATGCAGTAAGTGGGTTATTAGGCTTATCATTTTTTGTGTATATGTATGTATTTATGTTTATATATTTAGAATATATTTAAGGTAGGTGTGGTGGTGCACCTCTGTAATTCCATTTACTCTGGAAGCTAAGATAGGAGGATCTCAAGTTTGAGGCTAGCCTGGGGAATTTAGTGAGACCCTGTCTCAAAAAATAAAAAGGACTGGGGATATAGCTCAGTGTAGAGAGTCCCTGGATTTACAAACAAAACAAAATGAAATAAAATGTTTTAAGCTTGTGTGTGTGTGTGTGTGTGTGTGTGTGTGTGTGTTTTAACACCTTTATTTTGTTTATTTTTTTGTGGTGCTGAGGATCAAACCCAATGCCTCACACATGTGAGGCAAGTGCTCTACCACTGAGCCACAACCCCAGCCCCTGTTTTAAATTTTTACCTATAAGAATTTACTTACCTTATACTGTTGATTCCTGTATTTCCTTAAGATTTTGAGTGTATCTTGGATAAAAGAAAAAAACCTCTTCCTTATGGAAGCCATAATATAACTTTGGGAAAACCACCAGGAATGTACTGGGAATCAAATACCCAAATAGTTGGATCAAGTCTTCCACCAGGAGTTGAAAGGTAATTTAGTTCCTAGTTTTAGATTTCACCTAAATGATAAATTTGGCATTGATATATCATGGCCTCAGTTATCAAGAACTGATTGGTAGTTGCATCTGCTCTTCATATATCTCATACAATTTACCTTCCTTGTCCTGTGGCTTCTGCCCTAATGGTCTGCCTTTGTCTGTACCTAGCCTGGGAATTTCTTGGAAGTGCTGACCTAGTTGACCTCAACTGGATATAAATAGTATTTTCTTCTTTTGTATTCCCATTTTGCTCTACTTTTCTGATAACACTTAGCCCCTCCTACACTGCATTAATTACTGTATAGCATATGTTCTTTGTTAAACTATAAGCTGTGCTACTTTATGTATAAGTTTCTTATGTATATAAAGTAGGCATGTAATAGTATGTATTAGACAAAGAAACAAATGGATGAAAGCTGGAAGATGATTTACTATAATTTGATTTAATGAATAAGTTTGTTATCAGTTACTAATTTCTTTGGGAGAAAAATAACTTGGTATACTCATTTATATTCACTTGGCTCTTGTTACTGTATAAAGATACATTCTTGTTCCTGAAAGTCTTGTAACTATTGAATTTCTCATTTAAATTTTCAAAGTAAGTATTTATTTTTATTTTATATAGGATTGCTTTCGAATTTTTGGATTCAAAAGCTTTTTGTAGAAATGTCCCTCACATAAAAGGAAAATCTGCTATGAAAAAACGACATTTGGAAATTTTGGGATATCATGTCATTCAGGTATGAAATGCTCATATGAAATGTTCAGCCTTTGAAACACTGACTATACACGTGTTTTCTTTTAACATGAAAGTTCTAGAATTATCTTTTTATATTAAAAAAGTTACATTAAAGTATCCCTGCAACAACATCTTTTCTTTAGTAGACTAAGAAATGAAAAATCAGGGGCTAGGGTTGTAGCTGATTGGTAGAACGCTTGCATTGCATGCGTGAGGACCTGGGTTCAATCCTCAGCACCATATAAATAAATAAAAATAAAGATATTGTGTCCATTTCAATTAAAAAAATGTTTAAAAAAATAAAAATCATCATTCTTTTATTGTCTTTAGAAGATCTATTGATTTGTGTATTTAGTTTACAAGATAAAGGCATTATGGAGATGGACAGAGTTACAGAAGGAAAAGGCTAATATACAGACATAGAAGGAATATAGGAAAAAAATGTCCATTGTCAGTGTTGTAGGAACAGGGAGATGAAAGGAGCTATGAGGTAGAGAAAAATCTTCTAGGCAGGGTCTAAGAAGACATACCCACGTTGTTTCCAAAAAGGGTTCAAAGGCTATGCTTTTGTAATCTAATTACATAGAGTTCGTACATTTTTGTTCAGTAGTGCTTATAAGTTTTCCCTGCTGTTTTTTGTAGCTGCTTTAAAACTTCCATTCAAACTACATTACTTATTTTACAGATCCCTCATTTTGAATGGAACTCTATGGCACTGTCACAAAAAGATGCTCGGTTGGACTACTTGAGAGAACATATATTTGGAGCAGGCAAATCATGATTGTAATTTTTATTTAAAATGAGTTCTTATGGTGTGTCACATATGTATGTATTTTAATTAAGTGGACTGACTCATTAAAAAAATAGTAGGTGCAAATACGCTGAGGTGGCAGAACAAGTGGGAAGTGGGGTGGGAGTATGATAAAAGGAAAGTAAACAGTAACAGTCAATATTCCAACCTCATAGCCTCTCTTAGTGAGATGAGAAGCCATTGGAGGGTTTCAAGTGAGGAATGATGAAAACTCACATTTTAACTGCATCACACTAGTTGCTCTGTTGAGATGAGAAAAAATTACTAAGGAACAAATGTATCAGCAGGCAAGAAATGGATTGTGACTATTTAAAGAACATTTCAATACTCCAAGCAAGAAATGGATGCTGGCTTGGATAGAGTAGTAGCAGTGAGTATAATGAAAAGTGGTTTTCACAATGTATTTTGAAAGTAAAGGCAACAGAATTTGCTCACTGATGGATATGAGGGAAGAGAGAAACAAAATTCAATGATAATACTAAATTTTTGTCCTGAGCAACTAACTAAAAAGGTATTGCCATTATGGGGAAGTCTATAGGATGAGCAAGATGGGAAGTAGGCATTGGTGAAGGATCATGAGTTTGTTTTAGACATGTTGAGTTTATAATGCTTTTTAACATCTAAGTGGAGATATCAAACAATTCAGTAAATGAGTTAGGAAGTAAGGAGAGAGAGTTCCAGTCTCCAGATACAAATTTGAAAATTGTCATTGGACCACAAGACTAGATGAAATCACTTGAGAGTAGAGAAATGTGTGAGGAGATACTTGAGGGCTGAGCAGGGGTGGCCAGTGAGGTAAGAAGAAAAGTCAGAGAAGGTATTAATACTTCCTGGAAGCCAAAGATGAAGCATTTAAAGGAGGAAGAAGTGAGAAATTATATCAAATACTGCTAATAGATTAGGTAAATGAAGCACTGTGAAATGCCCCTTAAATCTAACAACATGAGTCTAAGCCTAAGAAAGGTCCTGGGTTTGCATCGTCTTCACCCCCATACATACAAAATGGCAACATAAAAATCACTAACTTTGAAAAATGATTTTTGTTAAGTTGTGTGTGAAAGCCTGTTTTCCAAGAGAAAGTAGGAGGAGACATGAGTTTTCTTCTAAATGGAAACAAATAGGGTGGTAGTTTCAGTGGTCCAATCTTGGCCTGGTCTGATCTTTCACATGCTAAGGTTATAGTGATTTTTTTTTCTCTGTATTTTAACACATTTACAATAAAGTAGTTATGAAGGATCTACTATATTATATAATTCCTAGCACTTCCTTTAGGCCATGTGGAATGTGTGAGATGAGTGATGGGACTGACCATCTGAAACTTGGCTATTTCTGACTCCTGGACCCTCTAAATTCATTCTCTTCTATAGTTGGTAGCCAAAGTGCCTTCTGTTACAAATGTATTTTCTGCATGTAATTTGCTTCATTGATATTTGGCTTGGGCTTAGTTGAAATACATGTATAAAATATTTCCTGACTTTGCACAACTTGAGTCCCAATATATAATGATTTTGCAGAAGTGAACTTCATAAAGTTTTTTGAAAACCAATCAGAATAGTAAGCAAGTAAAAGATAACTCCTTTTAACCATTTGTTATGGTTTAGATCTGAGGTATCCCCCCAAAACTCATATGTTAATGCAGGGATGTTCAGAGGTAAAATGATCAGATTATGAGAACTAAAACCTAATCAGTGGATCGATCCATGTGATGGATTAATAATTTGAACAAACTAACCAGGTGGTAACTATAGGCAGGTGGGGCATCCCATAAGGAAGTAGGTTACCCCAGGCATGCCTTTAGAGTTTATATTTTGTCCCTGATGGCTCCTTCTCTGTGCTTCCTGGCTGCCATGAGGTGAGCAACATTCCTGTGTCACATCCTTTGACCATGATGTTCTAGTTTACCATGGGCCCAGAGCAATGGAATTGGCCAACCATGAACTGAAACTCTGAAACCATGAGCCAAAATAAACTTTTTGTTTTATTATAAAGTTGTTCTTGTCAGGTATTTTGGTCATAGCAACAACAGATTGACTAATCCACCATTCTTCCTCATAAATTTCCTAATGATATTCATTTATAGTTACAGACATACTAAATTCTCAGTGTTTAATTTTCCATTTACATGAATGAGTTCTATTTCTCAAGCAAAGGACAAGAACCAAACCCTGAATAAGTTAAAATATTTTTACTCTGTAGCTTTTCGAATAAAATGATTAGACTGATGAGAGCTATAAATTTGCCTTTGATATAAATAATTGAAAATCCAATGTTGTATATTTGAGGTACATGGAAATCTTGCTTAAATGATTCTGGTGTGTCTTTTGCTTCTTGTTACACACAATCTAACTTCTTATGTACCATATCTTTTACTCTTTTTTTACTAGGCTGCTTGATTGAAATGGTTTTCTGTGTGTGTGTGTGTGTGTGTGTGTGTGTATAAAACAAGTATTTTTTCATTGAGATATAATTTATATACCATAAAATCCACGCTTTTTTTGGTGGGGGTATTGGGGATTGAACTCAGGGCACTCAACCACTGAGCCATATCCCCAGCCCTATTTTGTATTTTATTTAAAGACGAGAGTCTCGGATTCCACCTCTTGGGTCCCCTTCTTCCTCCGGGAGAAGTCTTTTCTGCTGTCCTTTAATAAACTTCTAATTTCTACTCTGATCTTGCCTCGGCGTGCTTCTTTGGTGTTATTCTTCAACATTGGGGAAGCAAGAACTCGTCACCAGTCAACAGCGGTATCATATTGGAGGTCCCAGACCGAGATTCTACACCGAGGTAAGTGCACGCACCCCATGTCTGTTTGAGGTGCATCTTTCTCTATTTCTTTCTGGAGGGTAAGGTGGGCACCCGACGGCTACTTAAACGCAATTAGTGCAGCCGCCACTCTTCAAGACTCGGGTGAGAGGTTTCCCGGCCTAGGCAGCTCTCAATCACCTGTTCAATACAGAGCAGGCATGTTGGGTTCTGCCAAAGCCGCTTCCAACTTTTCTGTCTGGGCCTGGAGAGCAATTGGCGTAAGTACACAGTGTCCCGAATCCCGATCTGCCTCGGATGCGTGGAGGTGGAGGAAGGAGTTTGGAACAACTGCGGAATTCCGGTCTGGGCTACACTCAGACGATTCCTAAGGTTCCTTTCTCTTGAGCCCCCTCCCGACAGCCCTCAGGGGTATCTAGGGTGATCGGTAGATGAATGGCACTGAGGGAAAGCCCCAATCACATTTGCCTCCCTATGGGCCATGCAACACTCCCAACCTCGCATCCATTCCTCCTGGATGCTCCCCTTCCTTCGCAGGTCAGAAATGTTAGCAATTCAGGTTGTAGGACTGAGAGAAAGGCATGAGATAATTAGTAAAATCTGCCCAGGTTCTCTAAGATGCATAGGTAACTTTCACTAGTCTGTTTTATCGCCCCAATGTTTAAAATGTGTTGTGTTCCCTAAGCTGCTAGAGAGGCATTTTTAGAATCAACTCCTCTGGTAATCTGCTACCTTACAACCAGTAGATATCCCTTAACACTTAGGCGGCTCCTTTAGTCTACAGAGCAAAGGCAACAAAGAGCGCATGTTTCTCTTTTGCAATGGGTTTTTAGTGGCCGGGAGGATAAGCAGTAATGCCCTTAAGTCTGAATCCTCCCAGGGTCTCTGGCACAGGGCAAACTGAGACCCTAGCACTTTGCTAAAGGGGACCAGAAAACCCTTGGCAAAGCAAGGTGAGAGACGGGTTTTCTGCACCGTTTAGGAAGCTCAAGCTTAGGGAGACGTCCCTAATGAGAACAGTTTTCTCTGGCGCGGCGTGGGCGCCTGAGTCCTGTTCTTCTCACTCAGACGGGAGCTTCTCTCTCTCCAATACGCCAGGTGCACCACTAGCCTGCGTATTGAAAAATTGGGATAAATTTGAACCTCAGACGCTCAAGAAAAAGTGCCTCATTTTCTTGGCCTGGCCTCAATACAAACTCTGAAGAAACCTGGCCACCAGAGGGAAATATCAATTTTAATACAATTTAACAGTTTGATAAAATTTACAAAAAAGGAAATGGTGTGAGGTGCTGTATGTTCAGATTTTCTTTGCTCTAAGGGAAAATCCTAAATTATGCCAACAGTGTAAAGTAGACTTAGCTATGATATCTGCCATGAAGAGAAAAAATCTTGGACTCACTGAGGAAAAAGAATCAAGAGAAAAATTTGGGCCTATCAAAGTACATTCCCCCCTTCCCCCTTCAAGACCTAAGGCAGATAAAAACTTACTCTACTGGAAAGTTAAGAGATATGCCAGATTGCCTGGGATTGGATCTATCCAAAGGAGCTAATCCTGTAAGTAAAAGGGAAACTGAGGATTCCCAGCAGCTGCCAGAGCCATTTTCGATTTGGGGAATTTCCTCATTCTTCCCTGCACTGTAAGGATTGCTCCATCTCTGCCCACTTAAAAAGAAGGGACACTGAATGCAGTAAAGTCAGTCACACTGAGACCCTTGATTTTACACCTATAGTTGCCCCTCTGTGAAAACATCTGGTCCACTCATGGGGAAATCTATGGTGCCACTGATAAGAGTCATAATTAAATGGAAGTTCAAAACCTGGAGAGATTTTTTTCTTATCTGGTCTGTTTTAAAGGTTATTATAGGTTGTTTCTTGGGGATGATCTTGGCTAAATGTGTGTCTAAAAGATGATTTTTTTATTGTAACATCTGGTATCTAAATGAGTTTGAAGCATTGCATAATCTTGCAGTTAAAAGTTGGGGTTAGGTAATTGTTTAGTTTGTGATTCCAGATAATTCATGCCAGAGAACTTAAATACTTAGGATAGAAAATTAAAAGAATTCTACTTCCAAGTTGGCAAGTAACTCCCAATCATTTAGTTTTATTTTGAACTGGGTAGCCTGAGAAGATTTCACTAGGTGTACCAGTGCATTAACTTGGGCAAGGATAGTAAATTATGATATGGTATCTGTTCCCCTCAGTGTGTAAGATTTAGGAAAAAAATGTTGAATTGGAACGTTGGTCTGGCTTATTGAAATAACATTGAATAGCAACAGTCTTGGAAATTTTTAAAAGCTTAATTTTGGATATACATGGTAGTGTGTGGTTCTCTTTAAGATTTTTTTTCAGGTGATTTAATGTAACTTAATACTACTTTAGGAACTTCAGAATAAAGGAAGTGACTTAATGATCCTAAAGAAATTTCTTCTGATGGTAGAGATCCTATTTTCAGTTTTGTGTGAGCAAGTTTTTCTAGTGTAGGAAAATGTAAAGGTATGAAATTTTATAAATTGTATCTTAAACTTGTATCATAATTTTCAACATCCAAACCTGAAAATTGTGACTTATGGTTAAAATGCCTTAGGCATGAGGTTTCTGCTCAGAATTCCAGTTTTCCCAGTTCCTTCCAGACCTCAGCCAGGACTTAAGTTGATATGCAAATAGAAGAAGCCTAGAGCACTCAGTAGGAGACAGATCTAAGGCCCAAGAAAAAAAAAGAGTAAAAGTGTCTTTTTATGGGAACTCAAACTAGATTAAACCAAAGAGTAAATTATATGGTATTTACTAATTACTGGCCAGTCATCTTTTTTCTAGGACTTTTGCTCTTTCTTAGATTCTGTATTTTTTGAGCTCATGATTTTGATCCTACAGACAAGTTAATGTTTTTCTGATAAGTTCTATTTTTGATCAACTGGAGTTTTTTTTTTTTTTTAAACATTGCAATGAGATTTCACCTGAAAAAGCTACAAGGCCTTTACTATTGTGTTGTGTTACACTTGTGTTACGTGTTGTATGTTGGTATGTCTGTGTGTATGTCCATATATTGTGCAGTGATATGACAATTGACAGATGAGGAGCGCTCATGAAAAATTTTTAAAAAATGGATCCAAATATCTTTGATTCACGTGATTCAAATGGCTCAATTTAAATTTGGTAAACAGATGAAAGTAAAGATGTCTTTAAAATTAAGCTTATAAGTTTTTCTAGATGTTCAAAAAGGCCCTAATAAAGTGTTAAATCTGCTTAAATTCAAAAATTTACAAGTATTGTTTCAAAATGTGAACAGGAGGAGGTTAACAGATGAAAAAGAGAAACTAGAAGGTTCTAGATATGGATTTAATAGAGGGAAAATGTGTTTCTGGATAAGAGTCTATATGATTAAGAGGGTTTAAGTAAATGATATAAGAAGGTCTGTGTAAGTTGCTTATAAGTGTAAGATTTTGAGCAAGTAATCTTAAAGAAATTAAACAGCTGGTCAAACAAGTGCTGTTGTTTTAGAGAATTGTGCTATGTTATTTCTTTAAAAAGCTAAACTTGATTAATATAAAAACATCAATGTAATTGTGGTGTTAATGTGTCCATATCTTCCAGGTATACAAGTCTGTAAGGTAGAAGTTTTAAAAAGAGCATTATATCAAGCTGGTGTTCTAAAGTTGTATGGTAATTTTAGGCTTAAAAAGAAAAACATGTTGGAGATATATGTAAAGTTCTATGTTACTTTTTACACTGAGATACAATTTAAATGTATTTTTAAGTTAATGAGAGCCTAATCTGTGTGAAGGTTTTATTGCAAAACACAAAAGTACTTTGCTACTTTTCTACAAAAGGTTAAAAGCTTTCAGCCTTTCTTTAATTCATGTTTTAGATGTGATATTATGTTGTGTTTGCTCAAGTTCACAACAATTTATGTAGGCTTTGTAAAATGATGTTTGAAAAGCAAAGATCAGTGATCAGTTTCAGAACTACAGTACTTAAGATTTATGAAGAGCCCTGCCTTACTTGAGATAAGGCTCTGTCCCATCTCACTACATTTGAAAGTGACTATGGAAGAAGTAGGCCAGATTTCAGCACATTTAAAGTTGTGTCCAAAGGTTGGTTTTTGTCACGATTACCAGGATCTCAAACAGGGAATTATGATGTATAACCCTGCCAGAATTCAAGGTAGCTATTATATAAGCTAAATGTTTTTACTCTTGATAATTTTATTTTGTAGTTTTCTTAAATGATTTAGGATTGCCTGTTAATGTTTTAAAGAGGTACTGCTTTAAGAACACAACCTGGGTCAACATAAGATAAGGAGTTATCACCTACAGGATAGAGAGATAGACATTAAAGCCCAGTGCTCTTAATATAAGGCTGTTAACTTATTTGCTGGATGTTTAAGATTAAGTTTTAAAATTAAAGTTAAATTTAAAGGGCCAAGAAAACCAATATTTGGCTCTTGCCCTCTAAGTCAGTCTGAATCAGGGAATAGGGGACTTCTCCGAAGAGCTTTGCAACTCTAGGCCACATAACCTCCCGATCAGGGAGATTAATGAGACCAGTGGAGGACAGAAAGCCAATCAGTGCATTTGCTGTGAAGAGGAGGGTCATCACAAAAGGGAGACATCCCTGATGCTTCCAAGGGAAGCCACATGGTCAAGCAAGGCCTGGACCCATCCTAGTGCAATGGCACTAGCAGAACTGAGAAGCTGCTGTGAAGTTCCCCGAGGACTCCCAGGGAAGCTCAGCTGACTGTTAACAATAGATAAAAACAAAAGTCAGTTTGACTTGCTTCATCTTAAACACTTAGCAAAGACAGTCAAAGCCAAAGCACAGCTGTTCCTGGACATTTTAAATAATAATAATAGTTAAATGTAACTTCCAAAAATAAGTAAACTGGAGGCTACAAAAGAGATTCTCAGACA